AAAAAAGGACTGGGGATGTGGCTTAGTGGTTAAGCACCCTTGGGTTCAATCCCCAGGACTGAAAAAAAGAGAGAGAGAAATGAGGAAGGGAAGCAATGTGGGAAGGTTTTGAAAACTCTTCTTTAAGTTCTTTATATCTGTGAAGAAGCACGTACATGTCCCAGTGTCTGCAATGACTCAGACTTTGTACACAGATGAGACCTGATTGGTGAGATGGAAGAAAAGCTTAAAGTCCAGGCTGCTAAACACCAGGTAGAATCAGAATTCAACAATTAATTTCCCCTTTTCTGTTTCTGAGATCCTGTGATTTCACATGAAACATTAATGGTTAAAAATAAAACACAAAATGTTTACCATCCTCCCAGATCCTTTTAGTAGATTATGTTTTATGTTAGTATCTCCATAGCCTAGCCCAATACCCAGCGCAAAATAGATGCTCAGTAAAACAAAGAAAGAGTAACTGAGTGAATAGCAGTACCCAGCGCAAAATAGATGCTCAGTAAAACAAAGAAAGAGTAACTGAGTGAATAGCAGCAACAACAAAAAGATTGATCTAGATATTAGCAAATGCTGTTGAACTGCCATTTGGAGAGCAACGTCATCCTTCCTAAGGATACAGGGATGGATGCCTTGCAAAGACAACAGGAGAAAAGCATCACCCTACTTCTGTGTCTTCTTTGTCCTGGCCTCTCCTTTTTTACACCATTTGTCCATCTGAACAAATGTACCCAGCATCCCTGATTATGGAAAATTCTCAGAAATCGACACTAAAAATGAACCAAGCAGTGTGACAAGAATTCAAAGTGGCTACTGGTGGCAGGAAAGGCCAATGTACAAATGCAGACTTGAACCTAACAGCTTCCCGTTTAGAGAGAGATGCCACCAGCCTCCAACAGGGGGCGCTGGCTACACACTTCCCTTGGGTCCTGGCACTTTCAGATGGTTTTCTTCTCTAAGGAAAGTCCTGAGTTGCCTGCTATTATTTCCAGTTGATTCCTTGCCATCCAGGTGCTATGTGGAAGGTTCCCCCTTGGCTCCTCAGAGGGCTCCTTCTGGATCTGGCTTTTACTGCTGCCACTGCTCCTGGGATTCCATGTTATGACCTCCAACCCCTCACACACTCTCCATCCGGACAGGATGGACAATCTTTTTGTTTTACGACCAACATCTGGCTCATGGCAGGCCATCAGGAAATATTTTTTCCCTGATGAAGGACAGTGGATCTGACTATATTACCCCAGTCTTATGAGGATGCAGATTGCTCACATATAAACTAAGGATTAAAGAAACTTTCTTATTTTTTTTTTTTGCACAAATTGTTGGATCTGAAAGTATTTAATGTGGTCCCTTCAAATATCAATATAGGAATTTTACTTGATTGCTTCTAATTATTAAAAGAAAAAAAATAAATCACTTTATCCAAACCATGTGCCCATCTTCTTGGCCTATTGATCTGATGGCGTTGGCTACAGTGTGCCTCCAGCAGACAGCACAGTGATGCTCTTTAAAGGGAAGTTCAGAATTGCAACATGTGAGGGATGATGCAGCCTGGGCTTCTCATAGGACAGGAGGAGTCAGGTCCCCAGAGCCAGCCCAGAGGATTGGCCCAATGAAAGGCAGCAATCACCCACTCCTAGCAATCTCAGTCCCAAGTGGAGAAGTCCCCACCCATGTCAGCAATGGAGACTTCCTCCTGACTTCAGAAAATCTTGCAGGGGTCTAACGTCTTGCACTTCTTCCATCAGAGGTGTTCTGTGTTCGCTGTTCGGTGTAGTGTAGGTTCCCAGATGGTTTGCTCTTCGTCTCTGTCTCTGTCTCCTTCTCTCTCTCTCTCACTTGAAGTCCTTGGCTTATTCTCTCCCCTCTTTCCAAGAGATTCCCTACGACCCATCCTAACTGGGCCCCCTCCTATTCAGCCTCCATATCTTGCTTCCATGTCAAATCTCCCACGAGGCCTTTCCTGCCACCAGTAACCTGCATTTCTGGTGCAAGCAAGACCTTCTCCCATGGCCACTCATAATGAGCCCCACATAATTCCCATTTGATTGGCTGTGCTCCTGCTAGACCATGAGCTAGTGCACCAACCAACACATCCCTAGCTAGAGCAGGCCCTCAGTGCAGATCTGGGAATGAATGGATGCGCTAATGGCGGAATGTGTAATGGTAGCTGGCAGTGTAGGGCCCATAGCCTAGCCTTTCAGGCTGCCTGCTGGGCCTCCCGCAGCAATGAAGACTGGATTTCTGGACCCGCAGCACCTGTCCAAGTCTCCAACAGAAGCTTGGAATAGATCCCATCCTGAATGACGTGACCTGAGAGCAGGGCTCTGTGTTTTGCCTCCGTGCTCCCATCTGGAACAGACTGAAATTCCTCAATCTTGTGAATTCTAGGCGTACACTAACAGAGGCTTTTCTCTCTCCACCTCCCCACAGGTTCAAAGCACCCTACCTGCTTCCAACCTGCCACCAAGGTTTGCATTCTGCTCCAACATGACCTCAGGCTCATATCTGCTTCTCTGTATTTATTTGGCTCATGAACAAGAAATTCTGAATAATCTCATTATCAGTAAATTTTATTTCTAACTAGTTTGGGGAGACTTAACAAATCATACAAACAAACAAAAATATTATGCTGAGAATGAAGACATACTAGACCATTATGTTGGCAGGCGTTTTGTTTATAATTTTTATAATCAATAATAGAATGTCCCTGCTTTACATTATACATATGTATATATATATATATATATTATGCATATATATTAGGTATCTATACTTCAATAGAAAGAGACATAAAAAAGCCTTTTCAAATGAGGCACGACACACAACACTCGACATTCTTATTTACAATATAGAGATGTACTTTCTACACAAGTATAAGATGCGCAGAGGCCAGAGGGGGTTTACAAAGACAGCAGGGCACCTCTATAAAAAAGAGGTGCCCCATGCAGCTGGACGCTTATTGCCATTAGTTCTCACGGTGTCCAGACAGCATGTGGAAGTTAAAAATGGCATCTGGCTATTGGAAAAGACAATGGTCATCAGTTTCATCCTGGCTCCAATAACTGCTGGCTGCACAGTCTTTCGAGTGACCAGGGAATGACACACGCTGCTGATGGGAGTTGGAAACAGGACATGAAATGCACTCCTCCAAGGAGCCAGACTCCTCATATGGCCAGAGAGAAGGTGCTACAAACCTCCAGTCTGCGCTGAGCACGAGCACTTGTCTGGGTCAGGAGACACCCTGTCATGGGCTGCATGACCAGGAAATGCTTGTCTCCTGGGTTTTAGAACAAAAGCCTGGTTGCTCGTGAGCAGCCAGAGTCTATGCCAGCACCAGCACGGGAACTCAGGAAAATCCCCAGGGGGTTAACAAACACAAGTTTCACAGGATATAATGAAAATTCATAAAGATCCTAAGTCTGCTGTGTGCAATTCTGTCTTTGCAAAACATTTGACCCTGTCTGGCCCACCACTTCTGTTTTTAAGAAATGCAGAATGCCTCTCTCCTGCAACTATGCCTTTCTGAACTATTTTCCCAGGGTCTGCATTTGGTTTAACACGTGGGAGGATCTACAATGCCTACCCGAACCCAGGTCCACTTGGCATCTCTGACCTGGAGCCACAGTCCAGGTGCTTGGACCAGAGGAATCTCTGCATTGTGCAGAACTACGAGCTTTTGTCTCTTGAGGGTGGTGTCTGTGTCTCCTGTCTCTACTCTCCTGGCTCATGCGTTTCTTCTACATGACTGAATCATTCATGGACCTTGCCTTAGCCCATAGGGTGCACTCAGTCTTTAGAACCATATTAACCTTCCTGGTTATTTTCAAAAGTTCCCTGTAAGTCACTTACCAATGACAGTTTAAGTGGAGTCTAAGTGGAGTCTTCAGTCTGGCTTTTGTTCTCCAGCCTGACCTTACTTTGGCCCCTGTCATTTATCAGTGTTGACCTTCCTAGCCCTTTATTTTCCTAAGGCAAGAAGTCATTTCAACTGAAAGTTATCCAGCACCCTTCCGAGAGCTCCCCTGAGGTTTTTATCCAGCACTCCTCCATTTGGACGTCTTTCTCCTTCAGGGAGAGGAGAAACAGCCGGCCGGGTTAATGGTCTTTTTTTTTTTTTTTTTTTTTGCAACTGTATCCAGTGCTGACTCAGCATTTCTTTGGAAGTGTTTCAGCAGGAGCTTTGCAGGCATGCATCTATCTTAAGTGCCCCCTCCTGCAGCTAGAATCTCGCTCAGTTTTCCCTACCCCAGAGATTGAAGCAATCACAAAAATAAATTTTGGATCAGGCTATGCATAGAGAGTTCGAGGAAGTAGGTGGAGTAACTTCCCTATGGTTATTTTTGTTTGTAACAAACTTGTATTTACTAAGAGCATCACCTCTGCTCCTTCTTACATTGTCACTCCACCTACTGCTGTCACAGAACATAATGGGGTTGTGCCACACATTCCTTTGCCCCTTGTTTGGAGAACATGAAGAAAGAACCAGAGTGCGGGTATCACATTTTGTTTAAACAAGTGGCACATTGGAATCTAGTAAGGGTTCTATTTACACAAATATGTTGCACTTCTGCACAGAGGTTAACCTGAGTTCTGAAATGCTTGTGTGCACTTAATTTAATCAAATGATAAAGCTATGAGCTAGTAACATGTTGGACATTTCAACTGGAGCAACCTGTCTGCGAGCCGTGAGGGTGAAGAAGACGGGCTCTCTCCTACTCCAAGCATTTTTTCTTTATTTTCCCCTATTTTTCCTAGAAAGCATCTTAAAAGAGACTCCACGTGGCTAGACAAATTCAAGCAAAGATTGTTGTCTTTTACACTCTGTGTTCCCAGATCTCTAAACAAAAGCACCACTAGGGTTCAGTTCTACCCAGCTCCATCCCCACACCTCTCTTGCCACTCCATCCTGGCATGGCAGAGGGGGCATGTGCCCCAGCAAAAGCACTCAGTTCACCTTAACACTTCTGGAGGGCTACCCCAGGCCTGCTCCCTCACAGCCACTACTTGAAATAGTTGAGTCCTGCCACCAAGAAAAACTTCTCTAGGAAAAGTTCCGAATCCAGCACCGCGATGTGAGCGGCTCGGCCGATCAGGGTGTTGGCAGTGTTGGGCAGGGCGTGGAACACGTTGTGCCGGATTAAAGTGCAGTCCTTGGCTTCAATCAGGGGGCCCAGAAGGTTGTTGATCATTTCCGCATAAACTGGCCCTGGAAGGAGGAGAGAAACAGATGAAGCCGGTGGAGAAGTTGGCACTGACGGTGTGCGCCTGGGTCAGAATCTTATGGCTGCTCTGAAAGTTTGTGAAATAAATATGAAATAATAGCAGAGGAGAGAAGAGAGCTTCAGGCAGTGCTTTGTGGGCCTGTGAACCAAGACCAGCAGAAGTGGGAGGGGTTTCAGTGGATGGCTGTCCTCTCTACAGGGACAGGGAAGGAGGACACCAAGGAGGACCCTCAGAGACTCCAACTCCGTTCCTGGAGACCCAATGATGGGAGACACATCCCAACCGAGGCTGGAAGCAGGTCACGCCTCACACAAGCCATCTGGCATTGCGGCGTCTGTCCTGATGCTGAGGGCCTGGGAGAAGAGGGCGATGCAGGGGCTCTGGATGGTTGGTGGTTGGGGCTTGTCTGATCTTGATAATTGGAAGTCAGAATCATCTATGTTTGCGTCTAAAAAGTCACTCAGTGACAGCTTTGCCTCAATCGGTGGGACCCACAGTGCTATCCAGTGACGATGACCATTGAGCACAGTTGCACACCTGTCCACAAAGCACACCTAGCCCTGTTCTCCTGACTGCGATGCTGTTCATGACCACTGTTATATGATGCAGTGCACCCTTTGGGGTAATCCCGAGTGCTAAGATGCCTTGATTTTGACACACAGGAGAGGCCATGCCCAGAGGCTTAGACATGGCCTCCAGGTGTCCACTCCACATGACATGGTCTAGTGTGGCACCCCAGGGTGTGCACTGAGAGGGACCCACTCTTACACTGAGTCTAACAGCCACCAGCCCCCTCCAGAAACTCCCCTGACCCTGCCCTCCATCTCTACCCCAGGTGAAAGTTCAGACTATTTCCACAAGGGACACCATTTGGAAGGGCAGTGGACCCTTCACACATAAAAAACATTGTTTATTTCCTCCTCCCACCACCTTCTTTGGATTTTTGGAGGAACTTCAAAGTAGGAGATGTTGAAATGTAAATTAAAAATAACTAGGGATTTGGTTGTGAAATCTCTGTCCTCATCTTATCTTGACCTGAAAAATATTAGGGGTTAAAATAAAGGGTAGAATCCTTTGCAAGACGCCATTATTGTTTTAGAACAGTAGGCATTACGGTATTAATGAAAGGCTGTCAAGGTACCATGTCATACACTTTAGTGGGTAAAGTGTTCCTTTCAGAGAGAAAGTGGAGGTCAATCAAAACTTATCATGAAGGAATGTTTAAGAAAACCACACTTCACGGGCCAGCTAAATAATTCTGTGCCCTTTGAAATGATGTCTATGAATACCAGGGAGTAACAAAAAGAATCCATGCAGGTTTTGATAGATGAAAATGAAAGTGCATTATCATTACATCGATATCGTAATTTGATTAAACTGTACAAGTAGTGAAGGCCTGAGGTCGATTTAAAAAACAGAAAAAAAGTCACTCAAAATGTAGTGGTTATCAACCAGATAATTTTCTGCTCAGATAGTAACATCTGAGGAATTCCTTGGGAACTTTTGAAACATCCACAGCAGGCCATTCATGACTCTTTCTCCAAGGAACACTGGGCTGACTTCTGGGAGAGGTGTGAATCATCTATACAGCAGTTTAGCCGATGAGTTGAGAGGTGACACAAAGACACTGGCGAAGCTGGGAAGCATTTTATTTCAGAACTTTTGAAAAATAGAAATAGTTGTACTTCAAAAAAAAGCAACAAGATCGACAACCGATCATGAATTAAATTCTATGTAAAGTCGTGTGCTGATTTTTAATTTGCCAATTAAGCTTCATTTATTTGATGCTTACTTAAAAGCATAACAGCAAATGTGAACTTAGGAAGAGTGTTTAAGACGTCTATTAGCATCCTTTGAGAATACGGAATTCTGTCAACCTCCATGAACTACTTCCAAGTGGAGCGGAGAGACGTCAAGGTTCGTCTTAGTGGTGGTACCTTTGTGCCAGCTACAGAACTCCCTGCTCTCACAGTCCGGAGACCTTGGCCTTCTCATCTGTAAATCTGGAGCAAGGATACCCTCAGAAAGGCCATTGTAAGACTGCATGAGCTGAACCATGGACACGGGTGTGTGGCATAGAGTGACCAAGGGTGCAGCTTGCTACTCAAGCCAGGGTGGACATTCCCAGTGCACGTAAGGCCTCCCGGGCACACCACGTCATGACCACTCAGCTTAACTCTGCGCAAGAAGGCAGCCATGCGTAGCTCATAAATGAACCGTGTGGCTGTTCCAACAAACTGTATTTACAAACTGGGAACCGGCTCAGGTTTGGCACAGTGTGAGGACTTGGGGAGCCCTGTCCTCAAGACTTTACCAGGTTTCAGGTGTCCCCAGAGCTGCTTCTCTATGGTAGGGAGATATGAAGTAGGCAGGAAAACTTAGCAAGTGCCCTCATGAGGACAATAGTCCAGAGATTTCTGCCATGCCTGTGTTGGATCAAGTCTGCACTGGGAACAGGACACAGGCAGTGAGTGCAAAGGTGTTGAAAAATTACTATCAAATACCTTTAATACTTAATCACAGAGGTAGGAGAGTGAGATAGTAATGTACACTGAATGCACAACTTTGAAGACAACTTGGCAAACATCTTAAAGAGATTTAGCTCACTAATGTCTTTCCCTCAATGACACCAGGACTGGGAGTCCACCTTAATGACATATTTAGACCTGTCACAAACATACACACAAAGGCTTTTGACACAATGCGCTTTCTAATAAATTTTTTAATTCTTCTGGAACCTGTATGTCCAACCTATATGTCCAAAGATGAGGAAATTGTTAATTTAATATATTCATAAATAAAGCCAATAATGAAAATGTGCTTATATGTGTGGTATTGTTCATACAGAAAAATGAAGAGGACATCATGTTAAACTGAGTCATGATGCAAAATTTTGACGTTTAATATGACATACCTACAAAATGAGACTTTCAGAAATACATGAAATGTGAGTAGTGGTACAGGTACCATTAGATATGATCCTGATTTGTTGAAATAGATTTCATTTTTCCAAATGTTCTATAAATGAGCATTTTTCAAAACGACAGCATCATTTGGTGATGTGCCTCAAGTTACATTCAGGTGCATATATCACACATGAAAAAATACAATGTTATTTTGCACGTGAAATTGCATTTCAAATATTTGTCATCAAAATTCCTCTTGATTTTCCTAGGTCCCAGTAGAAATGTTCACTGATTGATTTATATTTAGTGCCAAATCTTGGGACCTTTGGCAGACAATTTTTCTAAACGTCATGCAACAAGACAAAAATATCACTTACTTGAAACTAAAAAAAACTAAAAAATAAACTAAAAATAAATAAATTTTAAAAAAATTCCCCATGTGAAATTACTTACAACTTCATGGGGCCTAACAGGTCTTTGTTTCTGACCTTGAAGTTCATGTACTCACCAAGCCTGGCAAGAATTACTTAAAACCAGTATTGAGGTAGATTGTAGCTCTTTTTCTTTTTTCTTCCTCCTGCTTCTTAGTATTGCTGAAAATTATCCTCATGTCATAAAACTCCAAAAGAAAAAAATTCACTTGTCACCATGAGGTGCTTCTTAAGAGATAATTAGGTTGGACTCAATGTCTGGCTAATGTTATCATGCCTCTGGTAACTGGAGGATAGCTGTAGTGTTGTTCTGACAGTGCGCCCGATACCCAATCAGTGGCTCAGAAAAGAAGATTACTATCTTTTATGATTATCTTTTACTTAGAAAAAAATAATTACTAGAAATTTTGGTTTTGTATACAATTAGAAGAATGTTATAATAGGAGATAAAAAAAATCTACAAACTAAACAGTGGCAGCAATGGATTTCATGGATATCTTAGGGTTGTATCACCTCCACTACTAATACTGTCCTCATTGTCATTTGACTAAGCACTTCCTGTTTGCCACCCAAAGGTCCATGAGCCCTGAATACATTATTACCTTCACAATAACCTTTGATGTAGGCTTTATTATTATCATTTAGCCAATGAGGAAACTGATGCTTAATGAAGAGGCTCTGTGGGCTGGAGTTGTAGCTCAGCAATAGAGCACTTGCCTAGCATGTGTGAGGTACTAAGTTCGATTCTCAGCACTGCATATAAATAAATGAATAAAATAAAGGTCCATCAACAATTAAAAAAATATTTTTTAATAAAGGAAGAGGTTCTGTGATTTGTGGGAAGTTGCATAGATACAGAGCTAGATTCAAATTAGGTCTACAGGGAAGCACACTCCTTAAAAATAAAATAAAATACATGTGACTAAAGGCAAAAAAAGGTCATAAAAATAACATAAATGCCTGTAAGGGAAAGTAAAAGAAGTATATATATATTTTTGAGTTTCATAGGTGAGATATAACATTATGCTAAAAAGAATAAAAACTTGAGAGTTCATTATTGTATATATCCAGATTATGACAATATCATGTAAAAAACAGTTAACAATTCACTAAAATGTTAACTGAGATTGAATCAAAGTGATGGCATTTTTTTTTCTATTCTATTTTACAAGTGAAGTGGTTGGTGTTGGCTAACTTCAATCCAACTTCCTTCTATGGAAGTTTTGATAGGCAGCAAGACACTGAGTTCTCACATAAAAAAAATATATATCACTTACTTGAAAATAAAATCAATCCAAAGGTCTGACATAGAGTAAACCATATCAGAGGAAACCAGGAACGCCAGCCCATCCCCTCTCCTGGTGGCCTGCAAGGCCTTTCCTTTAACATCCAGCCCCAGGGCCACCTCCATGGGTCCTCCCTGATTCTGCCCTGCACCCCCCTACCCTGTACCAGTATTCTGTTCCAGGATAAGCCAGAGCCCTGCTGTCCCTGATAAGAAGAGTCAACTTTATGAATTTATTTTTGCTTTTTAAATCAGAAAACCCTTAAAGGAATTCAAGGGTGCTTACCTGTGTGTCTGTCTTTGAGGGCGGTTTTGCACATCTCAATCCTGGCTGAATGAAATGGCACGTAGCGGTCTTGGGGGGAAGCAACCAGCACAACGTTTTTAAAATACTGCAGCCCTGTAACAAGGAGCCGGGTGAGTGCCTGACCCAGGCGGCTTCCACTTTCCCTCCGTTTGCACACACTGTACAGACTTCTCCAAAGGGGACAGATGAGGAGATACAAGGCCCTGGGGTCACTGCATGAGAGCCTGTGTTCTGAGGCTGAACCGTGCACAGCCCAGGGCAGAGGCCTGGTGGGACCCTACAGGAAGTTGAGAATGCACTGGGGCTTTTGCCCTTGGAGAGAAGGTGTCTCAGCCACAGAAACTAAGGAGACATATATCAAGCCACAGTAAGAAAAAAGAAGCAGGTATGTGGCAAGAAAGAAAGAAAGAAAGAGAGAGAGAGAGAGAGAGAGAGAGAGAGAGAGAGAGAGAGAGAGAGCAAGCCTCTGAGGGCAGGAGTACTAAGGATTTTGAGAGGACGTCTAAGTTTCCTGCTTCTCCTCCTCTCCATCCACAGCAGCCCTGTGAATTCATCTCATGATGTCACTTGCTTTAGGGAAATAATCCGCCAACTAAGCCCACTCCTCCAGCCTGCTCTTGCTGACCTGTCCTCACGTGGAGACCTAGAGGTCCCCCCAGTACATCCTGCAGTTCCCAGAGCCTGTCCTGGGGTCCAGGGGGTGTGTGCACAGCCCAGGTCCTGGTCAGCACAGGCCCTTCTCACCCCAGCTGCTGCTGTGCAGGAGGACTTTGGTGGCTCTCAGTATCCCTCCACGAGTGGGTCCCTGCATCCGAGATCACACCCCAGGAGCACACACTGGGCATGGCCTCCGTCAACGGCTGGAATACTTGGAAGCAGGGAGGATTGGGCTGACCCCTCACCCACACCAGGACAGCTCTGTGGGGTCACCTCAGCTCTCCATGGTTGGGACAAGCTGAAACCTCGTGGTGACCACACACATTCCCACTTCTCCTCTGGCCAGTCCTGTCTCCCCCACAGGGGATAACAACATTCAGCTTGGCACTTAGGAAGGAAGGAGGAAAAAAACTTGCCCGGCTACACATCAGCCTGGGCCTTCTGGATGCACATTCTTGGAGGTGCAGCAGTCCCCACAGGGGTACACAGAGGGTGGAGGACAGGGTACCTGGAGCTGACCCTGGGCAAGGTCAGCTGGTAGGCCCGCATGGGGCAGGCTAATCCATCAGTGGCTCTACTCCTTACACAGCCACTCAGCCACCATCAGCCCTGTCCTCTGTAGTCATTCCCATGTGCTGGCAGAGTTTCAATGCCTTTCTGCTTCCTGTGACACAGTGGGTGGAGGTGTAACGTCAGGCCTGTGTGACAGTCCTCTCCTAGGACTTGGTCACCACACATGCGCAGTGTCCTGTCTGCTCTTCTGAGTGTGGCTGGCACACAGACCCTGGACCTGTGCACTTACAGTACTCAAGGGCTGATGGGAAACAGAAGCTGGCACTTCTGTGTGTTGCAGTGACCCTGCACACTCTGTGGCTCTCCTCTCTCCCGTACCGCATGGGGAGGGGCAAGGGAAGCTGAGCTCCTGGTAACTCTGGCTTCCCAGGGTAGAAGAGGCTTAGCTCCCTGGATCTCCTCACTATCCCCAATTTGGGCCAGCCCCAGTGCATTCTCAACTTTCTGTAGGGTCCTACCAGGTCTCTGCCCAGGGCTGTGTATGGTTCAGCCTCAGAATCGAGGCTCTCATGCAATGACACAGCATCAAAGCTAATGTGTATCTCAGGAGGAGGATCCGCAGCTGCTGAGGGAAACACCTACCTGTTTTTTGGCTTAGTTGGTATAGGAAGCATTTGCGTAAATCAGCATTATCCCTGAAGGTCAGCTGCAGAAGTGACCCGGATTTCTTTAATTTCTGCATGAGCCACAAGCCTAGAAGACAAAAACAAAAGAAAACAAAATGTAAAAATCAAACAAAGCAAAAAAAAAAAAATCCAGTTAACTTAAGAGAAGAAAGCAATAGGCATTTTAGCCAAGAGTTGGGAAGTCACAGAGGCAAATTTGTCTTCTTATCAACTGGCAGCCATAAAATCATCCTGCAAAACAATATGGCCACGGACTTCTAGAGTCACGGAGCTGTCAAAGAACTCTTTCAACCTCCTTCTGAAAAGGAAGCCAAAGGAACAGTCCCAACATGCAAAGTACGTAGAATAATAGAATGTTCCTTAGAAGCCCTTTAGATTCTTGGAAAACTATAAGAAACATTCCATTTCAGAGCCCATCCATTCGGCTCTGCTTAGGCACACACTAACACTGATGAGGGTCAGCGCTGTCACCACAGCAAACACACAAGCTGACAACAACCCAAGGAAATGAGTAATTCACGATGTGCATCCGTATCTCAACAGCCACTAAGTGACCTGCCTGGGGAGGAAGTAGTACAGACTGCAGGAGACCCCTCTAGACTCCCTGGTGTGGGGCAATTATTGGAAGCTGATTTCCCAGATTTGCAAAGAAAAGCTAGAGTGGCAGAGGAAAGGACTTTGTGGTACGTATCAAAGTGTTGAGTAGCTCATGCTCATGGGTAGGGTTCTCAAAGCAGCTTCAAAGCAAAAGTTCCAAGAGGAAAACATTAGAGTATATGGACAGCACTGGCCAGTGTGGCAGTGGGCAGCAGACTGGTAGGGAGGGAGGTCATTAGAGGTGTCCCTAATGCCACTTAGTGAGTTTAGATAATCAGGAACTATGAAGTGTTTATCGGGAATACGGTTTAATACATTATTTATCATTATATAAGACTCAGTGACTTCTATTCACCAAACCATGCTGCTTCCTCAGTTAAAATCCCCATTATTTTCTGATATTTGGATGCTAATTCACAATAAGTGGTGGAGGGGGACCTAACGGATGAATAGAGGTACTTTGGACTAGACAAAGGGGATAAAGAAGGGAAGGGAAATGGGAATAAGAACAATTGTAGAATGAATCAGACATCACTATCCTATATGCATATATGATTACAGGACCAGTGGAATTCTACACCAGATACAACCAGAAAAATAAGAAGTTGTATTCCATATACGTATAATATATCAAAATATATTCTAATATCATGCATAACTAATAAGAATAAATTCTTTTAAAAATACCATTAGCTCTATCCTGCCCTGTCCTGCAAAGCCCTTCATCCGGGGCTCTAGCTGGGCACTCCATCTATCATCTCCCGAGGCCCACCCCAGAGAAGACTGTATTTCTGTCACAAATAATTTCTAGCAGTTTGCTGATTCTGCCATGCTTCTACGTTGTCATGTACACCGTGTCTGCCGCCCAGAACACTCTCCCAGCCACTTCCTGCCCTGGAAGCTCTGCTCCTTCTCCAACCTCTTCTTTCTACCTCCTCCTTAATTCTCTATATGTCTCTGATACACACATGCACACAGCCCCTCACACACTACAGATGCAGCCAGCCCTCTGCACCTGTGAGCTCTACATCGGCAGATTCAACCAACTGCAGGCTCAAAATTATTTGGAACAAAAGTGTGTCTATAATGAACATGTGAATTTTTATTGTCTGTTTCCTAAACAATATAGTATAACAACTGCTTGTAGGACATCCACAGTGTATTAGGCATTAAAAGTAGTCCGGAGATCATTAAAGCATGCAGGAGGATGTGCACAGGTGTTGCAAATATGCTGTCATTTTAGATAAGGAACTTGAGCATCCCTTGGCTTTTGGTATCTGTTGGGGTCCTGGAATCAATTTGCTAAAGATACTGAGGGATGCCTATACATGCACACATATATTTTATACACATGTTTAAACATGCATGTTTCACGTACATGCATAGATATAAACAATAGACACATACACATAAACATACATACATGCAACCATGATCTCCATTTTATAGTAGATAATCTAAATTGCATAGGACCAAATGTCTTAGCCAGAGCCTCCACAAAATATCTGACTCAGAACTTGACCAGACGCTTCTCGTGGCAGTGACATGTTCTCCATATCATGACGTTATGCCTCATCTATGTATTCCGAAAGGACCATGGGGACATGATCTTTTTGTCCACAGAAATCTGAAGGCAGACATGATTTTGGAAACCATCTAGTCTAACCTCATAGACCTGACAATGAAGGCCATGTTTCTAAGCCCAGGTCTCTTTCTTCCCTCCCATGCCTGGAAGAGGCCCCAAAGCTGCAAGAAGTTCTGCCTCCACTTTCATGTCCCATATTAATGTCGAGGAAAGCCTTACCTGTACTAACCAGGGTGCTGTTGTTGTACAAGGTCCCCAGGTGAGGCCCAGACAGTGACAGGAACGTGTGGAGTTTGTTGAGGTAATACCGGAACCGGGGCCGGGTGAGGACAGATCGGATGATAATGTTGCCAAGAGAATGGCCAATGAAGCTGTCGAGAGACGAAGTGTGCACGTGAGTACGTCAGCAAGGGCCAGCTGCTGGGGGAACAGTGCCAGGAGCTCTGAGTCCTTAGTGTCCTGCCCGTCACTGGACGCAGGGAAACTGGCCAAACAACAGGGATCCAAACTTGTGCCACGTTCAGAGAGATGATCAGGGTCCTCGGGAAGGGGAGCTCTGTGCCAGTGTGGTCACGGGACAAAGTGGCCCAGCTCTGTGCAATTTCAGCAGCCGCCCTTGATGGCTGGCCCCCACGGCCCTGCTCAGTTCACTGAGGCCAGGAGCCCTCTTTCTGAAACACGCAGCTGAGCATGAACTCTCCTGGCCATTTACAAGATGAAGTCCTAACCCTGAGCCTGGCCTGTGAGACCCGTCCTAGCTGGCCGCGGACTGCCTCTCCAGGTCTGCCTCCTTCCTCTTCTCCTGTGCCTGCTCCCCGTACCTGTTGTGCTGGACACCCTCTCGCATGCTGCGCTCAAGTCCAGCACTACCACGGACCTTAGAGTCAACACCTTCTTACTTTCACATAAATAAATACTTATTGAAGCTCTGATATGTGAGAGTACACCATGCCACCTCGCCTCACAAGACGCACAAAACCAGCAGATATGAGCATGTTAGTTGAGGAGATGGCATTGGCTAGTTGTGTCCTTCCATTCTCACCAGTCCTCAGAATACTTACAGCCTCCGAATACTCGTGGTGGGATAAAGAAATGATAGTTGCTCTCTGAAGACTAAATAGGGAGACACTGAGGGATTAGCCCTCTATCTAGAAATCCACATGCTCAAGTTATGGGGTGAGGATACAATTAGCACCCATAAAGCCCTGGCATTGGGCAGGCAATGCATTTCCCTTTTCCACAGGTCTTCTCAGCACTAGTCTAATTAGCAGAAGAGAAGGCTTGCAAAGGTTACACACCTGCTATGCAAGAGAGTCAGGATTCAAACTAGTATGTGTTAGAACAGGAAATCACACCCAGGGACTTCTGTGTTAAGTCCAATACTCTTTACACTAAGTGAACACATGTGTACTCCCCAACACGACTATGGCAGATGAGTGTGTCAACCATCCCTGTTGCTCCTTTCTAAAGATAATTAACGCCATTAAAAAACAGGTTAAGTTATCCCAGTGGTTTTCAGAAGGCATCATTCCAAACATGGAAGCTGCACACTGTGTGAATTAAAAAAGAAAAAAAAGTTCCCACCCGTTCCCTTAGCATTAGCTACCTGTGGTTTCCTTTTACCTAATTCGGGATATGGAGAGGTTGTACAACTGAATGTGCTGAATGATTTCATCCAGTAATCGATCCGTCATGGTATCAAAATCTGCAAACGTGTCTGTCTGGAAGAGAGAGGAGAACAGGTGTTGGGAGAAGTGCTGGTTGAGGACTCTCCACCTAAGCATCTTCTTCTACTAAACATCGAGATGCAATCTGGGAACATGCCTAAGCTGACGTGGAGATTGGACTTTGGACCAAGGGCCCACAGATTGGTGCTGTGATGAAGAAACTTGGGGTCTTCACTTAGGAGCCTGGAAGTGGAGGTGGAAAAGCTGAAGAAGTCCACTGTCACGGCACGTGCCTGGTATCTCACACATGCCCACTGGTTCACAGAGGAGGAGACAGGCTGGGAGAGGAAGGCCATTCATGCACCTGGAGTGATCCAGGATTCTCCTGAGGACATGCTTGACTCCAAAGCCCCCACCCTGCCCCCAACATGGCTTTAGGTGAAGCTCTGAGGCCCTGTCCAGAGGGCAGACAGCAGCTTTGGGAAGGATCATAAAGCCATCCATGTCCTAGGAAACATGGTCCAGGGACACAGGAGGATCAAAGCAAGAAGGGAAATGACACCCAGGCCTTTGATCATTTGAAAGGCAGGCACTTGAAGGGGAAGAAGATGTGTTCAATTGGTTTTTCTAAGTTCAATGAATAATTTTTGGAAATATGGGTGGAAGCCACAGGGAAGATTGAGGATTAATGTCTATAAACAAACAGACAGACTAAAGTCCCTCAGAAGTGGAGCTGACCAATGTCTTGGGCTCCCTGGAGCTGTATCGAGCTCCAGGCCTGAAAATGTGGACAAGAGGTCTCACGAACATACAACCAGGGTGTCAGAGGAGAGAGCATATCCAGAGAAAGAGATAATGAACAGAAGGCCTTTGTGTTCCCTGTCACCTGTTCGTGAGTGAGCCTGGAGACACGAGAGGAGGGGAGCACACTGGTGAGATGCCATGGGATAAGAAGATCCAGGTTTGCAGCTCCTCTCCCCAGGGAATCTGGGCCTTGGACTGAACCTAAGTCTCCTAATCTCTCTTTTTTTATATTGATGCATTAGAATTATACAGAATACTGGGATTCATTATGATGTATTCCCACATGCTCATAATGTGGTCAATCTCTTTACCCAAACCTGATCTCTTAAAGGGTGAGAATGTGGCCTACTTTTTATCATCACTTTAAGGATTAAAATATAAGTAGCAGGGCTCAGATAAGGTTATTATTATTACCCCCAGCCTTTTAGGTACTGTTTCTTCACTTGTACGTTTCTGCTTTAGTATATTATTTATTTAAAAATAAGTTGGTTGTAATTATGAGATTGAAATGGACTATGATGAGAAATGCTCTGGAAATTTCATCAGGTTTAAAAACAGAACCAACCAAGGTGTTTAAAAATAAGTAGACTACAAACAAGCAGCTTATATGATTTTTGTCATATTATAAACAGTGACAATGCATCTTGGAAATAATTAGTGCAAGGTGACCAACTCCTCCAGATGAGGGAGAGAGAGACCCTGTGGGCCCCCAGCTCCTGGGGAATCCAGGTGGAGCCCAGCTATCCTGGGACTTAATCATAGAATAGTGGACACACACTGAAGGGCAGACTTCCCTCACTCACCATATGCATCTTCCTGAGAAGAACATCTCATTCACATCTGAGGCCCTGGGTAACCTCTGTTAGGACCAGATCATACTTGGGCACATAGTAAAGCCATGTGTGCACATGCATGATCTTCTGGAAGTCATGCATGTGCACACATCATAAATGGCGTCTTCCTCTCCAGCTTAGACTGACAATGGAGACTGCCTAACTCCCAGAGTCTCTGCTACCCTTCTAAAAGCAGAGGGAGGTACTGACAAGCAAGGAAACTGCTGTGAAGATGGAAGGAGACAACAGGGACAGAACACCCTGTATATAATAAGTGCTCAAGTAATGGTTCTCTTTACCCTTCCTGATGCTATACCTCTTTGCCCTGCATGTGGTGTGGCCTTGAATATAGGAGGTACAAGGAAAGGCAACAGATTGAGCACTAACAGTTGGGGAGTGAGACATGACCTCCCAGGGTTTGCCAGCTGGTGGTCCTCTGCACAATTACCATCCCCAGTGGTTATGGGACACTTCAGGCATAAACAGTTCTATTTCTCCAAAGGATACTCAAGTTCCATGGTGGGTGGCAATCAACAACAACACTTCCAGACAGCACCAGCTCTGGTCATAGATTGAGTAAGTTCTCAATGATGAACACATATCATTAGGGCCCAGGCTCCATCTACCTTGAAATGGCAAAGACCTCACAGGTCACTTGTACTGCAGAGCTGCCTGGACACAGCTTCTTTAGTTATTCAGATGCAAACTAAATGCCCTTCCTTCCTGGCATCTCCAAATAATTGACACCCACCTGAATGCCCTGTGAGGCTAAAGGGCGCAAGTCAACTGACTCCCGTTTTCATTTCTTACTCTTTCCCAACCCTCCCAAAGAACAACATGTGTTTTCTCTCCAAACGTCCCAGGGTTGGCCAGTTTTTCTTTTGCTAGATTCTCTCCCATCTGTGTGTTCAGAAACCATCATGTGCCTGTAGCAGGACCCTGTTCCTTCAGTTCTGATGTTTTTGTTGCCATACCTGATTCTTTTCAGACATGAGGAAGTCCAGTTTCCCTCCAGGGAGCCCCAGCTCTATGAAAGTCTTTACCAGCCGGAGGTCTGCACTGTTCCCTAAAAATGACAGATAAGCCCCCACCCCATTCCCATAGTTAATCATAGACAAGGTGGAACAAGGAACTCCTTCCTCCATTTCCTCCATTCCCATCGGATTTTCCCCATTATATTTTAATTAGATCATAAAAACAACTAAACCAAGTTCCTGTCTTCCTCCCCTTGCACACACACAGAGGCCGCTCCTTCATAGACATCCTACCTCAATGGAGTCATGCCCTCATCTTCTACCATGTGGTTTGTAAATGCTCTAGGCAGGGATGGCTGGAAACACCACCTCTTCTTTTTCCTTGGAAAATTCTCCCTGCCCAGGATGTTTTGCAAGTGGTGCCACTTAATAGCTGATGTGGCACAATGTGACGCCAACAAACCCCACTTGAATTCCTTGCTTAATACAAAGACTGTCCAGCTCTCTCATTTATAGGCAGTTAGTAGCCCCCATAAAGGGTCGACCATGGCAGAGTTGTCTAAATAGAATAAGACTCTCCCTCAGGCACCACAGTCTTGGAAGAGCAACCTCCATGATGCTCAATAGCACATCAGGAGAAGAAGAATAGACATAGAACTTAAGGCTGTCACTAATAACAGAGACACAAGACACAGGGAGTGCACTCCTGAGTTCAAAGTCATGTGGAAAGCAGATTTTATACAACAATACATCTTTAGGCATAAATTTCATGCAGGTCACAGGGGTCTTGTTGCTTCTAAATCAAAGTTTGGGCCCGTTCCTCAGCTGTAAGGCCTATGCAGCGAAAAGCCAGGAGCTGCTCACTTGGATACTTAGATTCTCTGCCCTGCACATGAACAAACCCCACAGGTCAAGGTTTCAAATAGTTTCACATCATTCCTTATGAAAATACCCAATGATTCAAAGGAGGGCTACAGTGCCCAGGGTGTCATAGGAACCCCAGGCCTGGGAGGATCCCTCTTCTTTAAGGATGGATGTGCGCAGATGGCTCAGATGCCACCCTTTTTGGTGGACTATCACAGAATACCCATGCCTATAGAACCATCATCAAAAATGGTCATGCTATTATGAGAAATATGTGCATTTTATGTTATGAGATTAAATTTTATCCACTCCTTCCTTCATTTCTGTCAGCAACCTTGTGCTCTTTGGTCTCACTGTCACCTTTGTTTGGCATTCCAAGAATGATCCTTAAAAATAAATATCTCAAGCCCTATATTTAGTATTAGGAATTAAAGGGATTAAAATGTTCCCCTTTCCTACAGCTATTAATGGAGAAGGAACATTCTGAAACTTAAAGCATTGTCAGAAAATCTGATTTCATGAGGTGCTAAACTGAGAACCCTTACAAGAGCAGGAATCTTGGGCCTTTTGCACTGCGGGAAGGTGTGTAAGCAGCCAGGACCGTTATCTACGTATCAGTCCTCTGCCAATATAACTACACACTTGCAAATCAAATTTCAAAAAACAGGTCCTATAGAATTCTGAAGAGTCTGGACAATGCACTCTGAACTGCAGAAGTCACCTTCCAATGAAACCTGGCTTAGATATCAGTTGTCTTCCTGAGGACCCATCACTCGGGTGATAGCAGAGTTGATGGTGGCAGCTCTCACGGTACGTAGCTGCTCTACCTTTAGAGCATGCCTGTGCTCCCTGGGCTTGGTCACAACAAGGTGACAGCCCATTACCCAACCAGATTCCTCATTTTAACAAAGAAATTGAGAGTCTTGCCTCCTCGTGACTTAACGTAGCCTAAGTGAGAGGTACACGCCTGTCATGCGTGATGTTGAATGAATGAGTGAGAAATTTATTCTTTGTCCCTGCCAATCCTAGAACTCAGCAAAGTGTCTGGAATACAAAGGTGCACTAAAGGTAAGAGGTGAGTAAAAAAAAACAGGCAGCAATGGTACTGACCACTGACCCGAGCTCCTCGAGGAATCCTTGATCCGTTCTATTCCATTTCTTCCTTTGTTTGTACCACTGTCTTAACTTGGGGGTCCATCGATCCCTGAACTGCACTCGTGTACTCAGCCCAGTACTCCATCTATTCATTCACTCCACTTCTTCTTTCATTTTGAATATTCATCCCATTAGTTATCCATTTTCTCAAACATTCTCTTTGTGTACCACTGATTTATTCAATTAATTCCTTCACTGGATTCATTCATTTATGTATTTTTTTCCTCAACAGGTTTCTTGTGCCACGGAGATATTTTCTTTTATAACAGGGCCTTGACATCTTCCTAGACTTACTGTAGTACTCCATCCCATGGTGGCTACTTGAACATTTTTAATAGATACCCAATCTAAGTGAATTCATAGCTATTACAAATTGCATTCACTATAGCCCTTTGAGGAGGGAACAGTGGGACTCACCGTCCAGGCCATGGACACAGACAACCAGGTGAATCCCATCTTCCAAGTTTTCTTCCTCTTCCTCTGGTGGGAAATATGGTATATCAGAAGCTAGTACAGATAAGTCACTGTACAGAAATCCTTCAATCTTCAGTTCTTTTTTAAATTTTTCTTTGGCCTGATAAAAACTGGAGAATACACTAATTAATCACAAGCCAAGCTGAGTATTCCATGTTGAGCAGGAAATGAGTTGGGCTATATGTAGGAGTGATGAGCATCCCTAAGCCAAGTGTCTGCTGAGCCGCAAATGCTGAGCATGAGACCTCAGGGGAGATACTGATGAGCAAAGCTTTGTTCTGAACAAGAAGGCAGGAAACCACCCAAGGAAACCAAAGGGGGTGAGTTGTACAGATTTCCAAATGGTTCCTGCTTTGAACCAGGTAATAGGACTTCTAAGATTCTATCCAGCTCCAAGAATTTAGGCAATCTTTAAAATGATGCCCCTGGAGTGAAAAGTCCCTCCCTTGACATACAAGTGCACCATGGCCTGGCCTCCACCTGCTTCTCCAACATGCTCGGCCACCACTCCCACCCCTAGACTCACACACAAGCTCTGTGGCTTGTCTTCACATGTGTCTGCATGCCGTTGTGTGTCTGCAATGCCTTCCCCCTTTGCTGTAATGCCCTTTGCATGGTTTCCTGACTATCTAGGTGGTTAAGAGCGTGGACTTAGGAACCAGCGTGCCAACATCAGAATCCTGGTGTTGACAACTGTTGTTCCTGGCAGTCTGTCCCTCATCTGTAGTGCTAGGAACCAGAAAATCTTGGGACTTTAGGATTTTTCTTTTATTCTGGGATATTTGCATATATATAATCTGATATCTTGGGGATGGGACCCAAGTCTAAATATGAAACTCATTATTGTTTCATATCTGTCCTATACACAAAACCCGAAGGTCGTTCTGTGCAATATTTTAAATAATTTGGGTCATGAAACAATTCCATGATATAGAATCTTCTATTTGAGGCATGATGTCAGTACTCAAAAAGCTTGGGATCTTAAAGAGTCTCGGTGAAGGATGTGGCTCAGGGGTAGAGCACTTACAGAGCACATGCAATGCCTGGTTTCTATCCCTCATAACAAACAAACAAATGAATAAATTTGAATTTTGGAGCATGTTGGATTGGAGCTTTCATATTAGGGATGTTTGAGCTGCTTTCCTATCTACCAGGCATATCATCATTGTCGCAGTCATCATTGTCACCCTCGGAATATTTTCCCCCAGTGCAGGTGTCTTCTTTAAGACACGTCCCCTGGTCACTTATATTGGTAGCCATTGCCCTCAGACAAGATAGATCCTTTTCCTTCTGGCTCTGCACATCATCATGTTTACCCAATCAGATGTCTGCTACGTACTTGTTGAGTTGATGACAAGTGTCATATGATAAGTATTTAGTATTCTTTACTGAACAAAAGTTCAGATTTGACCTGACTGTGCAGTTTCACTTGGGGGAAAATCATTTTCCCATATGTCAAGTTATCCTATATATAAGACACCTATGAAAAAATAAGTCAGCAACCAATATGCTACTATGGTCACTTGAAATGAATAAATGTTTTGGGAGTTCCATTGGTTTATGAAAAGTAATAGGTAAATGATTAGAGCATGTAAAAACACAGATGTTTCATCTCTATATGAAAATGTGCATAAACAATACATATAAACCCATTTTAAAGCACCTGTGTCCATTTTGTTGAATATTCACAGAATTTAAAACTCAGGACTTAATAGATAATATGTAATAATATTTTTTCAAAACAGTAAATAAGATGAGCTACATTGATGAAATGACTCTATATCTTATCAATAAATAGTTTATAAGTAGGAGGAAATGGGAGTAGAAATCTCCATAGGATGAAGGAGGGGATTCTGGTGTTGCAGAAGGATCTGTGAACTTAAGAAATTTACAATCTTAAAGGAGGCTTATGAGACCAATCTGGTTAAGAATTTCCCACCCTCAAAGGCTCTTAAAATGCCCTTCAAAATGTGCAAAGACAGAGTGACAATGGTGTTCACAAGGGAGATGTGCATCATATTAAAACTTGAACAAAATTTAAATGTCTACCTGTCAAGGATTTTGTTCACATTCTGGGGTACTGTGACAACATCAACATGAGGAAATAAAATGGAACTATAAACATAGAGAGATTTCCAAGATATTATTAGGTTGAGTAAAACATATGCAGGAACTGACAGAACAATCCAACTTTTGCATTAAATAAATTAAATAAATAGATTGAACTTCTAATTAAATAAATTAAACTTTTGCATGGATAGAGAGGCACCTAGTAAACTGCAGAAGAGCCTACACAGTTGTTATGTTGGGAGGTGGGCTTATTGGTCATTTTTACTTCCTTACACTATTCCACCTCTTTTACTTGTATGACATGCATTTGATCATTTAAATCAGGAAACAAACATCTCAACTTTTAAAGAGTGTGTGTGTGGAATTGAGAATTCTGTGGAAGAATCCAAAGGGTGAGGCCAGGTATCCCGCCCGCAAGCTCACCTGAACATCCTTTCACTGACGTCTTCCTCCAACTTGCTGGAATGGGTAGCAACGACTCCAAAGGACCCCAGAGGCTGATGCGTGATGGGAACTGGGGTCTGTCTGGAAGAGAACCCAGCCCTGGCAGGGGTCTCCTTGGGCACAGATGAGAAAGGGAGACAGGTGGCAGTGCAAGACACGGACAAGTTGACCACCTCCACGGTCTTGAGGCTCTCCAGAGAGAAGGTCTCTGCCGAGGCCAGCGGCGGACCCATGATGGAAGCGCCTGTCCTCAGCTCTTGGTTTCTCAGAATTTGGGAAGGGATGGGGGGAGTCAGAGCGCGGCACACAGTGCCTGCTTCGTGTTCGTCCTCTAGGAAGGCATCAGGTTCTCTAGGCGACACCACGTGGCCCACAGCGCCAGGCGCACCACTGTGCTCGGGATTCAGGGTGGTGGCATCCGAAGCTGAGGGACAGCTGAACTCAGGCACCTTGTGGTGGGACATTTCCCCGACTTCTGAGATACTGCTGCTGGAGAGAATGTGCTTGCCCACATGCGAGTCTTTAGGCCTGCCCTTGGGGGTTTCCATGAGTGCTCTATGCAAGGACCGGGTCCTGGGGTTTTCAAGCGCTATAATACGTGGTATTTTTAAGTTAAGACCTTTGGTTTCGCTATCTGGAGTGTTCTCAGTCCTGCCATCCAGACGAGAGTGGCCTTGAGGCTCCACCTGGCTCTCTTTACCTTGGGGGATGTCCATGTAACCAGGGTCTTGATGTTTGTCAGCATGTGAAACTGTTTCCCCAAAGGGCTGGGCTGCCCTGGCACCCTGGGCTCTGGGCCTTCCACTTGGTTGAGAGCTATGCTCAGGGGAACCTTCGCTCTTCTGCATTTCTGAAGCTTCAGGGAAGTCTCCTTTTTTTTTCATGGTGTCTGCACCTTCAGTTGCGTCTTCTGGGCTGCTGATTTGGGGTGCAGATGCAGATTTGGTCAGCTTGGTGAGTGCCAGCTCACGTTCCTCCTCTTCAAAAGGCAGAGAGCTGATGGAGGTGAGAGAGGCCTGGATGCCACTTGGCAAGCTGGTGTTGCTTTCTGTGTGTCCGCCCTCCAGGGAGTTCCTGTGGAGTGCATGTCTTCTAACCAGCTGGTGCAGGACTTCCCGATCGCTGGCTAACTCCACGGCCCTGCTTCGGGCCTCGGACCAGGCAACAGAGCTTGGCTCACTCTCAATGCCTGAGTCAGATATGAGGGAAGAAGACCGCTTGATGGCCCCAGACAGCGTGGACAGCTCCTCCTGCTCTTCCACAGGAGGGTCCTGGAAGGAAGACCTAGGATCCAAAGGCTCCGTCAGAGTAGCACTTAGCGGGGTCTCGGTGGGGGCCAGTCTCAGGCTCAGCAGCACTGGCTGACCCTCTGGCTCTGTTCCCTTTCCTGAAGTACTTAACTCGGTGATAGGTGCTTTGTCTGAAGAGATGGCATTTTGGTGATATCCACCCGCTACCACTTCACTTGATACTGTCCTGTCACTGTCCCTAGGGCTTCTACTCTCCCTAGAGAGTTCCGTGGGCTCAGCTTTGTGGAGGTTCTGATTACTGGATTTTACCTCAATGTAGGTCAACACTGTAGACTGTCCCTCCTCTGGGCCTGGACTCCTCCTGGGGCTGTCCACATCTGCCAGTGGATGGGTTCTGACATCAGACATTTGGCCAGACCCACACTCATCTTCAGGCACACCTGCTTTGTTCTGGAATTCACCGATTGTCAGGTACACCTGAGATTCGGAGCACACGTCCACATGATTTGCTGTGGTTATATTCTTGTCTGGCCCTGGACACCTAGTAACCTCCTCATTAGTGTCCACTTGAGGTGGTATCCTCGTAGATAAGACAAAGTCTCCCCTAAAAGATGATTTCCTATTTATAACATGGTTCTCTTCTTTTTCTTTTAGATTCATCATTGAGGGACTTACAGTTGGAACTTTGAAATTAGGATAAACACTCAAATCGGGTCCTACAAAAAAAAAATTATATTACAGTTTGCAAATCTATGTTCACAAGTTATTCTCAAATAGTTAATTGTGTAAAACAAGAATAATAATAATTTTTGCAGTCCTTCATTTCCTTTTTAAGAAAATACTTTCCTGGAGATTCTTAGAATTTCCCAGGACATACAAGTCTTTTTACCCCAGGGGCATCCAGAGAGTTTATGCTCACCTGCTAACTCATGCTGAGTTTCCAGATAGTTCATGCTCATGAGCTGAATCAGGATGGGTCTGGCCCTGGCAGAAGGACCAACCAGGCAAAGAGAGGCCTAGGGTCTAGAGCTGAAAAGTCACATCAGTCTGACCCGCAGAGAGAGGTGAAGTTAGCCCTGTGGCCCCAGTGGTTCAATCCATCCTTCCCAAATAATGAAGCTCCAATAGGAAGTCTGGATACACTGGCTCAGGAGCCATGTTCCAGGGGGGAGACTAGTCCTGAGAACACCAGAGCTTCTTACCTGGCACCAGCAGACCCCCGCCTCTGGACCCCTGGGTTTGTTTATGTTTGTGTTTTGGTCTTTTGTTTACAGCTGGTACTTATTTGTATTCTTTACAATCAGAACGTAATTGTAAGTATAGTCCCTTCCCGAGTTCTGCCTATTCCAACAAATTATTAGATTGAGGGGGCTAAGGGAACCCAGAATTCACAGTTGCTTGGGTAGAAGTGTGGGTGGCCTGTGCCCCTCAGCCTGGGAGTGCACCTGGGTGAAGTCGAGCCTGTGGGGACCGAGCTTCAGGGTGAAGTATGACCTGACTCTGGCCGTGTCGGGTGTGCGTGGTGCTGACGCAGTATCTGAGCCTCGCTTTCATTCACTTTCCACTTATGAAAGCGTGTTTAATGGTTCTCACGGGGGGAACATAGAGGCATTTTCTGCTTCCTATTTTCAGAAGGAGGGACATCCGTGGAGTCAGAAGGTCTATTTTCCTCCTGAGGTGGCCATTTTCCAGCTGGGAGGCCCCAGACAACCATGGAGTCTGGAAGCTCCTGGTGTCAGTGCTCACCTCCTGTGCCCTAGGGAGGCAGAGCCACGTGGCCGGCAACTCAGTGAGGAGTCACAGCACCAACCAAGGAGACACAGGGAAGAAGACTTCCACCTTGTCCAGAAAAATGCTGTCAGGTCGGAACTCTGCCACTAGGATAATTACTCCATGTGGGTCATAGCATAGGAAACTTCCAGAACCAGGTTGAGCTTCATAGGCGGGTGGCAGGGGGCCCGAATATGGTCTTTTTCTTTCTTTTTTCTTTAGTGCACACTATTCCCTCTCTCAGCATTCCCTCCCTTCCCTCTCTCGACCTCCTCTCCTCCTCCTCGCCTCTGTCTCTCTTTGCCTCTCGCTCTTCATCTCTCTCTTCCCCTCCTAAGAATTAATAGCTGGACCGGAGTCCCTCTCTGCCTACCCTCTCACAGTTCTGATAAAGCCTGTGACGGTACTCAGTTTCCATATAGACCAAGCAGAGAAAGGGAGCCCAGGTTTTCATTCTCTTTTTAAAACGTGCATTCTCCATCTGGTTCTGGAAACTGTCATGGAGTGAACCATCCAGACACTTCTTGAAAATCGTGTGAGACTTTGAGACCTCGTCACCTGGTAAGTCTCCATGACACTTATGACCATCAAGGAAAGAATGGAAATTGCCCTCACCTGGACACAGCTGAGCCTCTGGAGAGACTGTGAGGACCTCGCCTTCCCCGGAGGCCTTCCCCCGAGGCCTTCCCCCGAGGCCTTCCCTTGGCCCATAGCCAGGCCCAGACTCCCTGCTGCAAACCTTGCATCCCTTCCACACTGTGAGGTGCAGCACGTCCCCCACCCTCACACCACGTCCTCTCTGTGCATCTTGTCTCTGCCCCAGGGAAGCTGATCTTATGTGACTCTCTAGAGCCCTAGGGCCAGGATTGGGGCTAGGACACGGTCAATGAACTGTGTGTATAACAAATGGAAACTCGAACAGAAATATAGTGACAATGATATTATGCTTATCGATTATAATGGCTTCAAAGAAATCACCTCAGGGTCACTGGGTACCACGAATGGAACAGATAGGCCCAGTGTGAGAAATCCCCGATACACAACTGGTTAGGGAGAGAGGATTGAGCATCTGTTTAAAGAGTGAGTTCCTTGCTTCTGAAACTCCACGGACTGCAGCAAAGCCGTGGGGACAGTGAACGGATGTTTGGTCTCTAGGGAAGGGGAGGAGGAGGGCCATGCAAGCAGAGCACGTGGAATCAGGGCACTGAAACTCTCTGCGTGATACTGTCACGGTGGACACGTGGCCTTAAACGTTTATCCAAACCCAGAGAAAAGCCCAGAGTGACCTGGTATCCAGTGACTCCGGTAATAATGCTGAGCTAGTGTAGTGTCCTGACTCCAACTCCCTGCTGACAGGGAGGTGCTATGTACCTACAGGGCAGGGGACGCATGGGGTATCTTTACACCTTTTCCTTCATCCTTCTGTGGCTGGGAACCTAAAAGTACTACAAAATGAGTTGTTAATTAAAAAAGGAAATGAAAGCAAACAGAACCGAATGTGGTCAGTATTCTGGGGAATGCAATTGACCTGTTCAGAAAAGGAAGTAAGTCACCCTGGTTAGGGGACATCATGGGCAGAGGTTTTGTGGGCTGCAGTTTGGCTGGACATGAGGAGCTACTGTGTGTTGGAGCCAGGAGGAAGAGAGAAGGGGGACTGGGTTGAGGCAGGTGGGGAGGACCCGCAGGGTGATCAACTCGCATGCCCAGCATGGACACGGAATCAGACTTGACTTCACAGGTTGTAGATTCTTGGAATAAAAAGTGTTTCTCAGATTTGTCACAGATTAATTAAGACTGGATACAGGAGGTTCAGGAAGTGGGTTGCAAAGATGGCAACAATGTAGCTTCACCCTTAAAATTCACCCAGAAAAGGAGAGGGCAAAGGGTTCTAATTCCATGAGAATGGATTTAGAATCAGACACCAACAAATGAGAGTAGAAACTTGAATTCGTCTTCACTCTGGGCCTGCCACTTTTTAAAAACTGTCTTGTGGATGGATCTGCCCATTGTTCATAGTAACACTGGAGTACAATCACTACCCCATTCCCCAAATTCATGCAGGTAACTTCGTTGGGGAAAAGACTCGATTCAGACAGTCTGTGCAACCCTTGAGGCTTTGAGCAAACCATTCAGTGGCCTTGAGCAGGGGACTAGGAGGGCAGTGGGGGACAACAGATAGTAAGGACAGATTTGCTGAGTGTGTGGTACCCAGAGAGAGGCAAGCCACGATGCTGTGGGAAACCATGAGCCAATGCCATTATTTTAACATGGAAATGAAACTCTTTAATCCCCCTTTCACACTGCACCCAAAGGATGACTGCAAATGTGTCTGGCAATCTCAGGACAAGGAATAAATAACAAGGCCCCCAAGTTCTAGAGGAACGAGGAAGTAGTTCTTTGTGCTGAAGTTCTGTGAAGGAACAAGAAGGCCAAGCCCAGCCTTGGGTTTTGCATGGGGACAGAGGCTGGCCAACTGGTATAGGGGATGGGTGTCCATCAATTTGAGGTCGTGTGGAAAGAAGCTCTGGGGGACAGCCGAGTGCAGGGTACCTGCCTGTGGTCCTTCTAGGAAGATGAGATGAATGTGATGGAGCCGGCCTCAGGCACTTTAGAGAAGCTACAAAGACACTCTGGTCCTAAGTTAGCACATAGGTGTGGACAATGGACAGCTCAGAGGGACTTGCACGGGGAGATGCTCCTAGATATTCTCCCCCAGCCAGGTCTTGTGGTTGTTTAAGGCTCAAGGGTGCTGATAGGCAAGATGGAGGGAGACGATGGGTGGCCAAGAAAACCCCAAAAGACTGAGGTTGACTTTCCAGCCATGCTGCAGGATGGAGGCTAGGAGATAAAGCAAAGCTGATTTGTAGAAAATAAATAAAGATATGTGATAAATGGCACATGTGAGTCGAGGGACTGAGATTTATAATCACTAGGAAATGGATTAGTATGTGTAGGAAAAAAGACTGGGAGACAAATCACAATGAACCCTGAAAATGTTGACGTCAGAACCTCAGATGATGAGTGCTGAGTTCATTTCTCATTTAACTTCAAAGTTTCTATAGATACTGTAACAATAAGGAGGATGAACTTGCATAAATACACACACACACACAGGTACATACACATCAGTGTAGACACACATGTGTAAATGTTTCCAGTTCCAGCCTGGTGTGCATTTCAGTTGCCATACACCTGGGTAACACTAGATGTCATGGTACAACTGAGAATCAGATTTATGTGCTTGTAAGGTAGCACTGTCCTTAGAAGCCACCTAGATTTATAGACATCCAACAAGTCTCAGATTGTAGCACCTGTGAAATTTAGCCCCTTTGCCCTTCATGTAAATTCTGAGCCTAATAACAACTCTCTAGGGGAGATTGCAAGGCAGGACATGAGCTTTGGAATCCAGGGAGTGGGTTTGAATGTTGACTTAAAGCCACATGGTCTTTAAAAGATGCTCATAGTCCTCCTGCCTCATTTTTTGTCCTTAAATAGAGTCCCCAAGGTCATTTACAGGATTAAGGAGATAGAGCCCTGAAACCTGAGCATAAGGTGGGCCTGGCAGTCCTGGGACCTTGAAGGGATTGCAAGTCTATTAGCTTTGGGGATCTCCATTCAGGGCTGAGGGAGGGGTCAGAGAACATTCACTGTGCTATCCAGGTGCACCCCCCACCTCCACTTTTCCCCATTGATGTGTGAGTTCATTGACAAACTTCCTCACCAGCCAATCTGGACACACACATACCAAAAATGAGGACAACATATTTTCTCTTCTTTCTGCTATGAGTGGTTAATTCATGGATCTGTATCATTAGTCATGCTGCCTAACGATACGGACTCATGAGTCTTGAGTGCTTTGCCTGACTCATGGCATGAAGCAGGCATTGCTGAGAATTTGAACCCAAAGCCATTAAAGTTCAATCAAAAGTGTCTTTATGTTTAAATTGCACATTTGAAGTAAGAAAGGAACTTCCTGTATTTCCAAGTCACACTGGTGTGTGCACAGCAGAGTGGAGGGATTCTTGTTCTGTGGGTGACAATAGACACTAGGTTAAACTCTTCCCCCAGAGAACTGTGGAGAGAGTTTTTACTGTAATTGCTCCTTTGTTAGATTGATTTATCAGTGTTCCTGAAATAAACTCATTTCGATTAGTTCCACTTTAATTCTGTTCCCCTGGATGAGCTGAACAAACCCTGTGTTAACTTGGCCCCACTGTTGTTGGGATAGAAACAGAGAGACCTCCAGGACCCCGTGGGAAGCCTTGAGTCTTTCCAGGACAACAGAAGACAAACCTGTCGCAGGGCAGTCCACATATCTGTCCTCAAAGATGACTGGCAGGGTGTTCCAGTCACCATCGATGTCCAGGCACTCTGCGGGCAGCGGGGGCATGCTGGTGAGGTACTCCGAGTTCCGGATGTCCAGAGACAGCTGGCTGTGCATCTGTATGCTGAGGAGCACAGGGACAGGGTGAGCATCCAAGGAGCACTGGAAGCTTTGAAAGAGCTGTGGCACCCCTAATCCCAGGGACATTCAGAAGAAGAGCTGTGGTGGACTCTGGCAATCAACGGTCTTCCTTTCTTCCCTCCCACCTATTCAGCCCCCAGAACCATAGTCTGCTTTATTTGGGAACTGGTCCAGGTGCTGGGGTTAGAGGTCATTAACAGTAGGATTAGGTGAAACACAGAGGTCTATCACGTGCCATCGGGGGATGTCATGAAGACCATGCTGGAGGGATGCTGGCTGAGTTTCTGAATGGCCAGTGAGCTCCAGTTAGTGCCCTGGAGGGAAACCTTGATCCTTGCTTCTCTACCTTGTGCCACTTTGAATCTGAGCCATACTGTGCTATGTTTCACTTGAAGACCATCCAAAATAGCTTTTTATGGATTACTGTGTGTATATTGGCATCCTTGTCTAGGATGTAAGTTTCCCTAGTCAGGAGCCTATTTTTTCATTCGTCTATGTAGGATTTTAAAATGCTCATATTTTTTCATGACACAAACATCCTTCCACCAATAGAAATTATTATTAATAATTAATCATTTTTTTTTAAATTAAAATGCTAGGATGTTACAAAATATTCATCCCCTTCTCCTTAAGTCTCTGGAGGAAGAGAGAATGTTTATTTTTTCTCATGAAAGGAAAAGATTAAAGTTTCACTATTTTTTCCATAACAACTCAATCTCTTTTCCATGAGAGAACAGGGGGTCCTCAAGGGATTGGTGAGTTTGGGAGCAGGGCCTGCATTGCTAGTTGTTGTCTGTCTGTGACTCTCTTTGAAGCAGCCTGATCCCAGGAAGCCCCCATCTCGTTTGCAGATGTGCAGAACATGGGCCTGTAGACAGCTGTATAGCTGTGCAGCTCTGCCTAGGCCCAAAGCAGCTTCTCTAACCTGCACTTTCACTGGCGGGCACAGTGAGATGAACACACACACACACATGAAACACACCTAGTGTACAGATACGTCATATAACGCATATTATCCGTGCACAGTGAATATTAATTAATACACACATCAGTTTAAGAAATATTAAATATGTGTATTCTATTTTCTTATTACTTTTCAATTGGATTTTTACCCACAAAAATAAAGGAGGGAATTTTTTTCTCTTCCTCAAAGCCCTGAAGGCTGCTGTAACTTCCTAACTCTTTAAATATTTAACGCTTTAAATATTCTTCTCTTAATATTTAGATGGGATTTTTTAGCCACCCCTGTGCTTTGCAACACCATCTAAATCTGGAACCTCTAACCAGTTTTTAATTTATGAAGACATAGACTGGGCACCAGGGCACTCGCGATGACAAGTACCACTGGGGCTGGACGTGCATCTAGGTCCGCAGCTCATGGTCATGAAGAAAGTAAGAGCTGAAGCCAACGACCACAGCACAGCAGCACAGGTGAGGGCTGTCTGCTCTGAGCCACGTGGAGCAGATGCCAGCTCCTGCGGGAATGCTGCTTCTTGAGTGTGGGGCTTGTGGATGTGACCAAGTGCCTAAAGCAATGCTCAGCAACACTGCCAAGGGCACAAGAGAGTCAGTGCACTCTCTGACCACAGGCTCTGAGAAGTGTCTCAGCCCAGATGGTGTGTGCCGTCTTCAGGCTCAGCCACAGGTGAGCTCGGGGGAGCTGCCCTGCCCTCCTGGGTCTTGGTGCACAGCATGAAAACTCCCTGGAGGGACTGGCAGGACAGTAGTAGCGTGCTGAAGGGACTACGGCTTTGTCATCCTCTTTATCAAGATTGGTTTGAAGAGATGCATAAGGGTGTCCTGCTGAAAAATAGTGGACTGGTGATGATTGTTTTGGGGTGCCAACTTGACAGAATCAAGAATACCCAGAGAGCTGGTAAAGCACACTTATTCTTTTGTTGAGGGGGGTTGGGGCGAGGGTTATGAGGGACTGAACTCAAGGACACTCAACTACTGGGCCACATCACCAGCCCTATTTTATATTTTATTTAGAGACAGGGTCTGCCTAGCTTTGGCTAAGGCTGGATTTGAACTTGCAATCCTCCTGTCTCAGCCACCTGAGCCGCTGAGATTACAGCCATGTGCCACTGCAACCAGCAAGCACGCTGATTCTTAATCATTGCTTCCATTGTTACCAGCGCTTCTGCTAAAAGGGAAGTGCATGTGGTTTTGCATTTGAGTAGAAAGATGGGCTGGCCCAGGTGTGTGTGTGTGAGGGTATTTCCAGAGGAGATTGGCATGTGAGTTGGTGACCTGAGAGGGGAAGATCCACGCTCAACATAGATGGCAGCCATCCAGTTAGCTGGGGGCTTGAATGGAGCACAAAGTCAGAGGGAAAGGTCTTGCCTTCTTTTCTGGAAGCATGATGCTCTTTATCCTCTTGCCCTTGGACATCAGAGTCATAAGTTCTCCCAATATTCGACTCACACCAGCAGCCCTGACTCTCCAGTCTTGGGACTGGAACTGAGAATTACACCATGGGTTTCCCTGGGGCCTGAGATTTTCAGACATGGGCTGAGCCTTGCTCACACCTTCCCTGGTCCTCCAGTTTGCACAGGGACTATGGTGGCACTTCTTAGCCTCCAAATGGAGCCACTCAATTCCACTAGCAAACCCCTTTCTATACACCTCTCTACGTGTGCACCCCTCTTTTCTGTCTCTCTGGAGACCCCTGACTCAAAAGGCCTTAGGAATTACTTGACTGCAGCCAATGGGAGAGAAGCCTTCCCAGCATGGCCTCTCACTCCTCCACAGTGTCCACCAAACACGGAACGGCATCCCAAGTGCTTTGAGCAATGCCTCCATACAGTGAGCAATCAAAAGTACCCGTGAGAAACTTCTCAAAAGGAGAAACACAAAGGCCAACAAATATGTGAAAAAATGATCATCATCTCTAGCAATCAGAAAAATGCAAATCAAAACGACTCTGAGATTTCATCTCACTCCAGTCAGAATGGCAACAATAAAGAGTACAAACAATAATAAATGCTAGTGGGGTTATGGGGGAAAAGGTGCCCTTGCACATTGTTAGTGGGGCTGGAGACTAGTACACTGCTCTGGAAAACACCATGGAGATTCCTCAAAAGACTAGGGATGGAGCCACCACCATATGACCCAGCTAGCCCACTCCTTGCTATTTTTCCCAAAAGATCTAAAATTGACATACTACAGTAATATAGCCACCTCATTGTTTATAGCAGCATGATTCACAATAGCTCAATTATTGAATCAATTCAGAATCCAATCAATGGATGAATGGATAAAGTAATATATATATATACACACACACACAATGGAGTTCTACTCAGCCATAAAAAAGAATGAAATTATGGCATTTGCTGATAAATGTATAAAAATGGAGAATATCATGCTAAATGAAAAAAGCTAATCTCAGAAAATCAAAGGTCAAATGTTTTTTCACATATGCATAAACTAGAGTAAAATAAAGGAAAGGGGGAGGAAGGATAAGAAAACATAAAGATAAAGGGAATATCAGTAGTGCACAAGAAGGAGATCAAAAGACAGAGTGGAGGGTTGGGTAAGGGGAGGCAACACAGAATGAATTATTTTTTCCACAATTTTTTAAAAATTATATCTTAATTATTTATTTTTGTGTATGTGGTGCTGAGGATTGAACCCAGTGCCTCACACATGCTAGGCAATGCTCTAACACTGAGCCGCAAACCCAGCCCAGAATGAATTATTAAAAAATCATGTTATATGCATATGTAAATATAGGACAGAGAAATTCATATATATGAATAGGTGAAAAGAATCAATCAAATACAAGTTAATAGACGAGTGAAAGGAAGTCTAGTAGAGTAGAAGAAGGAGAATAGGGAAGGGGAGGAAGAATGGGAGGGAAAAGGGGGGACCATGAACTGAAATCAGTTTTCATGTATGTATGAGTTTGTTGGGATGAACCCCACTACTATGCAGAACTACAAAGCTCTAATTTAAAAAAAAAAAGTATGTGCTGAATGAGTGAGTTAATCAACAAGGTATATGCAAGGAAACTGGAGGGCCACATATTCCCAGACCCTCTCTGGAGACCTGCAGGGATGCTGGGAAGCAGCAGCAAAGGAGTTTGGAGACAGAGGGTGAAGTCCCCTCCCTCCACGTCTCTGCCACATACCCACTGTGGAAGCCACAGTGGAAGAAACCAACTTGGAATGAGCCCTGCTGGGCTTGGCCTTGCCCTCCTGTGTGTGAGCACCCAGACTCCGCACATGGCTGGCACTCAGAGCCTGGTCCCTTTTTCCCTGTCTGTATGACACTCAGGGCCACTGGGCATGCAAGTCCATCTGTCTGTGTGGTGCCAGGGACCCACATGTTGTGCACTCAGCAGGTACCCCTGGGTTTCCCTCTGGCCATGCGGAGCAGCAAGCAGGGAGGAGTCCCGTGGACGATGGTCTGGGGCATTGCCTACCCATGTCAGCACAGGTTTGCCCTCACTCCAGCTGTACAGCCCAAGCCTACAGATACTTCTGCTTTAGAAGCTGAAAGCCCCTCTTTTGATTTATTTCTTTAGGGAAGAGGCTCAATACCATCCATAGGATCCATGGGACAGGGGCTAGAAGTATGGCCTCTGGCCTCCAACACAGCCCCATTTCTGTCTCTTTTGCTATATGCTCTACAATTAATCACTTCACCTCTCTCAGCCCAGGTTTCTTCTTCATAGAAGAACAGTGTGTACCTCATTGGCAAATAAGAACATTGAACAAGCCAAGGCATGGGAAAACACCTGGACAGCTTCTTACTAGAAAAATATCAACAGTTGTGAACAACTGAAGGCAGGCAAAAACCTGTTGAGTTCAACCCTGTTGAGTGGATGTTTAATAAAACAATACAGAGGTACAGGTATAGACACAGAGCATGTAAAAGTCAAAGGCATATCTCAATGATCATATTACAGCAGTTAATATACCAGTGTAGGTCTCCCTGTGCCTCATCGTTTCTGTTCACATTTGGTCATAGACAAAGTTCCCGTAGCACCAACTTCCTGTGTGAAAAGCACTGGGGAGACTTTGGTGGTACAGAGAGGAGGGCCAGGAAGCCCACACTTGCTAGGTTTCATCCTAATCTGCTCTTGAACATACCTTCGAGACCACAACCTGGGGCCAGAGGTCTTCCTCTCCCTGGCACCCGGGACAGCTGTGCACACCCAGGAGTGTGGCACGGAACAAAGGGTTTCCACAAGCACTCCAAGCTGTTGCTACCCTTTCCATCTCGTCCTGTCCTATCCTAGCCTATCTCGCAAGTGCTGCTCCCAGCCCACCCAGCTCACCTCACCGTGCGTTAAGCGGTGGCGACCTCCTGTTGGAGAAACACAATCTAGTGCGTGCTTCAACAATAAAGGGCTCACTGGGTAGCCTGGCATTTCCACATGTCTGCCCTGATTCTGGAGCACAGTTCAGCCTCCTGTGTCAACAGGGTAGCCTCCCTGAGGCTCCGTCCTCTCCCCAGACCCACTCTCCATGGGAGCCCACCCTTCTCATGCATAGTTCCTGGCTCTCCGGTCTCTGTGCACTACCTCTTCCAAACCTCACCCCTGCTCACAGGACCCTGGGCCTTTTCTCTGCAATTTTCTCCATCTGCAATGAACTCTCCCTCTCTGTTCTACAGTTTTACCCTGGAGGGCCTAGCTAAAAGTTTCTTTCCTTCTGAGCAGGAGCCCTTCCTAGTCTCTGCCTTACGTTAATGTCTACTCCTAAATGAATCCTTAAAAACTGCTCTACCTGACAGCTACATTACAGGACCAAGGTATCTGCAGGGCCCAATTTTGTACCTGGTTCTCTTCCCTAATGCCAGCTTCCTAGGAAGACCTTCTCTGACAGCTCCTTAAACTAGTCTCATCTGTTCCCCTCACACTGAGAACTATTTCACCATGCACATCACCATTGGGCAGATCATATTTATTATGTGCCTTCCACCACTAAAATACAAGCCCCATGAAGTAAGGAATTTGTTTCTGGTTCACTGATAGAGTAGCCAATAGTTGAAACAGTGTCTGATATGTGCTCCCTGCTAAATAGTTGTTTCTTGAAAGAAGGAATCTCCTTTTTTTACGTCTAAGAAACCAGGTAAGAAAGATTCGGTAACTAGTGGGATGCCTGCCACAAGTATTGTAAGTTGCAAACTCAGTATTTTAAGACGTGTAATGAAATTTGAAATGCTGAGGTCCATATTCATTTGCAGGTAAAAAAGCAGAAATTACTCTAGGTCCTCCTTATCCTTCAAGGCCCCCCACGGTCTGTTCCTCCTGCTGCTCTGAGTTTCCCTGCTCTTCCCTGCACTTGCACTCCATTCTAACGGCACTGATCTTGTTGCTGCTTTTCAAAGATGTTCTGTTTTTATCTCACCAGCCCAAACTTTTCCCACGTCACTGCATGTCCTGCTGTAACCCCAGCCTGCGTTCAAATGTCACATCTGCAGAAAGACTTTTTCTTGTCCTTTGGGGAGGAACAGGGTCTGAAACTCAAGCTGTCATCCCGCTAGTTTCTGAATCTTTGCCCTTTGCACAAGAGGCTGCCATTCAAGCCGGGCTCTTTGAGGGGAGGAGTCCTGGCCTGTGTCTGTCACCTCCGCTAGTGGGCATTCCTGGAGCCCACCTGAGGCCAACCTCCTTGACTCTGGGAGACCATTTCCTGCAGCCAATCTGATTTATAATTTTGTGCTGTGGCCCCCAAAGCTATGTTTACTCTTGTCAGACTAGCTCTTCTGAAGTTAGTTTTGGAAAGTATCTTCTCCCAGTTCTAACTGGAGCCTGGAATGAGGGAACGAATTAATGGCTGAGTGGAAGACTCTCAGGATCTCTAGTCAAGCGGATTCAATAGGCAGTTGTGTTTTCTAGGAGCCCCAGCTCACTTCCAGAACCCACGAGGCAAACTGTAAATGTCACCGTACTTTGCAAATATAAGGAAGCCCGAGGAGAAAACAAGCTCATAGAAGGGTGTGAGAGCTCTCCATGTCCATCCCATGCAAAGCAAAACGTCAAGCTCTGCTCCCATTCACTTGGCATTCCCAACATTGTTTCACCCACCTTTATGTTTTGAAGTGAAGTGTTGTTCAGAATCAACAGGAGAAGTGGATGTGTGTAGCGAAAGCCAAAAGACCCTGGAGGGATCTCTGCCCCTCTTCACCAGGGCATCCCCGAGGGACAATGGCCTCATTGCCCATGAACCCTCTGACTTTCTTGAGTACTAGAAGGTGGCAAACTGAGAAATTTACCAGTCTTCCTAATTAGGGAGCTCAGCCTTAATTACTATGCTCAATGCATTTTTTAGTTACTGCAGCATCTAGAGCAGATTGTGTGTTTTCTGACGTAGCCTAGGGCCACACCACCTGCTTCGACTTCATTCTGCAGGATTCAGCACAGATGTCTGGCTGGACTTGGGAGTCTTGATTCTGTCTCTAGAAGCATAATGACTCTCAACAAAGGAAACCTCAGCTTGCTGACCTCTCCCACTGGGCACTGTCTAAATCTTTCGCTTGCCTGGCGCTTCAGACTGGAGGTGCAGAGGTGAGGAGATCCAGAAAGCGAAAGGGCAGCTTAAACAAAGAAAAGAGGTGGCCTGTCCTGGGAGTGGGGGAGACGGCTTTGTATGTCAGAGTAGGCATGCGGCTCGTTACTTACAGATTTTCCTGAAACGTCAAGACAGCAAGTTTTTGGTGCTCCATATAAAAAAAGGCCTCAGAAAACCTTCGGACCTGAGGAATAAAACAGAGTGAATGAATGGCTCACTTCTTTAGGTGGCTGTGGCTCCTCTGTTTAGAATTGAGGGTCGTGGAGATAAGTGTTATGCACTAAGAGAGGGAAAGCTTGTCCTTCACCCAGAGGTCTGAATCAAAGCTCTTAGCCCAACCCTGGTTTGTAGACACAGTTTAGTACATGTTTATGAATCTGTTCTTACACTGCTTTTTTATCATTTTTATATGTAGGTTTTATTCCTCCTACTGGAATATGAGATCTTTGCAAACAGTCACCATGAATAAATGCAGAATAAACAGAATTTCCAAATCCAGCCTTGTGAGTGTGCTTGCTAAGCATTTGGTGAATCTAATCCTCAGATTTTTGCTCTTCTTGCTCTAAATGAGAAGACCAATGTCTTTCACTATGCATTAGTACCGACCCATATGTACCCAAGCTTGTGGCCAAAAATATACTAAGAGCAATGCCTTCCCTTCCAAATTACTTTTTCAAATGTTGTTTTGATTGTTTATTTGAAGTGCCCTGGATCTAACCAAGGGCCTTGCTCATATGATGCTAGTACTCTACCACTCATCTCTATTCCCAGCCCCTCAAATACTTTTTAAAAGTACTTGGAGTACCCCTACAATAAGGGTAAGGGTGGTGTTTTATGAAGGATGGAGCAAAGGCTCGTATGGCTAACCAAGCTCCTGATGTCACACTGCTTGTTCAGGGTGGGGCCAGGGTCAGTGCTCCAATCGAGAGCTCGGGACAGGCCCAATTCTTACTCAGTTCAGTGAACTGACACTCGTCAAACTTCCTCAGGACACTAAGTGCATGTAGGAAGTTTATGCCATGAGACAACTTACCCTCAGGCTGTGGTGCTCCTGGGTGAGATAAGTAGTCACTTGGGAGTGGAGTGTCACCGTATCCAGGAACTGTGTCCACAGAGCCATCAGGTGGGAAGCCAGCCAGGCGAGATCCTTACTGATCTGCTCAGCTATCTTCTCTGGATTGTTCAGCATCTGGAGGCAAAAAATGCAGTGGTCAGGCCCCTGCTCCCTGGGCTCCTGCCATCTCCACTGACTCCTGTGCCCTTGGTGAACATCTGCACGTCGGTGGGATGATATTAAACCATCCTGAGACTCTCGGGATCACATATCAAGTCACTTTGGAGGCGGGACTTCAATAGTCATGGTGGTGATAAATTATTTGTAGTCCCTGTCTACAAACAACATCCAGGCCTAGTCTCACATGAGAGATCACCAACGGCCTAGCTCAGTCTCTCCCCGCTTTGTCTTGTCTTTGTGTCTATTTTAAGCCCAACCTAATCCTGGATTTCTGGAAATGTCTTGCACCTTTGATGTTTTCCCTTTCCCCTGGGGTCCAATGGCTTCTTCTTTCAACTTCTCTACTCAACCCTTTCCACAGTTTATGCTGCCCATCGGTGCCCAGATCCAGTGACTTCTCCTCTGTGAACCTTGGCTTCACAACCATCCAGCTGAAAACCCTCCATCCCATCCTCCCATCCCCAACCCCCGGGCACTGCAGATCCTCACACGCACTCCACTCTGTCCTGAGATTCTGAACTCAGTCTTCGTAGTCATGATGGCTTCCACTCATTAATACCCATCCTTTGGCAGGTAGAGTGCTGGGTATTTTGCATAGGTTTCCCATGTAGTCCCCACAGATACTCTGTGGTGGAGGCATCGAAAACCTTCTTCTACAAAAATCTAAAATGAGAGTGAATAAGTAGCGGGAGTACACAAGTCCACACCAAGCTGGGATTGAACTGAAGAACTGTGGGACCACAAAGCCACATCCCCACACCACGGTACAGGAGTAGAGACCTCCAGAGAGAAGAGAGTCCATGACCTCATAGCACTTAACTAGCTGGGAGAACTGCACATGGCAGGGGTTCCCTAGCCCTGGCCTACCACCATCCTTCTACCATCACCCACATTCCTTAAGGAGGGTTTCAAGTTGCTTTTAAAGCTAGGAGTTGGACTAGAGTGGGCCCAGAGCCTTTGGGGAAGACCCCAGGAACAGAAATACTTTGGATCACTGTCACTTGATATGGGATAGCCATCTTCCAAGAAGCATGCTGGTTGGAGAATTCAAATAAATTCTGGAGAAGTGAGAAGAGAGACGGTGTCTTTGAGGAGTGTGAGGCAGCCAGTCCTCCAATCCTGACACCAATCTCTAGGCTTAATCATTTATACAACAAGCATGTGAGGGCATCGTGTGTGTCTGAAGCCCATGTGTTGAATAAACACAGACACAGGACGAGTTGGAGAGGGCCTCTGCCTCACTCAGTAGTGGAGATAGGGATGTGAGTGAGCAAAAAAGAGTGGTGTGGCACTCTCTACCACACACAATAAACTGGGCACACAGCCACAGCACTTCCAAACCCTGTTTCTCTCATTTATCCTGTGCCTCAATTTCCTTTAAGGGCACGCATGGTAATTGACTCCATTTGAATGCAGTGATACTTGGGAGGATCTAAGTCCAGTGCCTGAATCACCGACAGCCCTTGGACTGAAGGCTGATGCTAGGCGAAGGCAGAGCAGGTGGCATGAGGAGTCTAATAGTAAGAAAAAGAGGAAAAGAGAAGTTTGATGCACAGTAACACTCTAAATTTTGAATATTATTACTTTTCAATTAATGATTCACTTCTAAGCACAAGATTTTATTTAAAAATACTACTCAGAGTTGCTTCTTCCAAGAGGCAAGGTCAGTATTTGGTGACCACTGCTGGCTGTGTGGCATGCACCATGGTCAAGAGACGGAAGACCCAGGTCAGGTGGGGGGCTCTGGGGAAAAGGCAGCCACTGAAAATCCTCCAGGTGGAGAGTGTGGCTTTGGATGGACTAGAAGTCGCTCAGATTTGAATTCCCCAACCAGCATGACTACTGGTGACAGCCAAACTCCTGTGTCAACACTTGGCACCATTTGCCCCTGGAAACAATCCCCACCTGATCATGGACCCTCCCCTCCTGGCCTGAGCATGCCCATTGCTCCAGCCACTGGGCCTGCCCACCAGCACCAGGTCGAGCTGCACCCTCTCTCTGGAGTGCCTCCCCTCTCCCCTCCCGTCTCCTTTTTTCTCCTCTCCACCTTGGCCTTGTCTATTCTCTCGAGGGAATCTTGACGGAGACAGTTCTGTGTGCCCTCGTTTCTGCTGTCTCCTTTGAAACTCCACCGTGCTCCAAGTGTAAGACTGACCACCCGCTTCATAAAGGACCCACCCATCTCCCATGCCACCTCCAGCCACATGTGGCCTGTGTTACCTCCAACATGCCCTCTGGCCTGCATTCTGAGCTCTGGCCCTCAGTGCTTCTAGTGCCCAGCCCAGTGGCTGATGATAGTGTGAACTTAGTAGCCTGGATTGACTATGTAGGTGACTTGGCATGGGTGGGAGGGGCCCTGTGCCTCAGTCACACAGACCTGCCTTCCTGGGCTGCTTCTTCTGTCACCCACCCATGACGGTGCCCCTGTACCACCATGGCATGGGCAAACACTGCATGAACTCTGAGCTCAGCCACCACAATAAAAAATGGAAAAAAAGGATGAGCTATTAATGAAATGTACCTTTGGGAGAAATATTTTTCCCCTAGTTGGTTATAGAAAGGATTTAAGGCAAGGTTTAAAAAGCTTCTAATTAAGCCACAGGAGGACTTTCCAAGCTCACAGACACCTGGGCCTGTGCAAGCACAGATGGCAGGGGTGGAGGGCCCTCCGGACACCAGCAGGCGATCCCGGCCCCGTCTGCATGGGTGAAGCTCCCTGAGAAGAGGCTCAGCCTCCCACCCTCCTCATCTGGGCTCTGCCCATGAGCTTCTCTCTACTCCCCTGCTTTATGATTTGGGGTAGAGGACACAGCATGTATAGTCATCTGCCTAAGCTGGTACCTGTGTGGCCCGTGCGGTCCAGCTCCTGGATCTGCTGCTCACCATGTCCTCCTGCCCCCCATACATCCCTCCAGGTCCCAGGCAGATCCCCTGGTCACTCCCTCCTTCTGTCCACAGGATGTCAGCATGCTCCTGTGCCTGCTCAGCCCTCCACTGACATGGCACTTCAGTGTGCATCAACAGCAGTCAGGAGGGCCCTCCTGCAACCTGTCTTGCCAGACTCTGGAAACTCTTGGATACCCAGAAGTGTGAAGCCGGGAACTCTCTGAATACCCACTGCCTTGGCCTTTCCCTCCTCCTCAGAAGCTCACTCCTCTTTCCACAGCAATATGCAGTGGTGGTTTTACCAGCCCTCCCACCCCCACACCCACTTGACTCAACACCAGGGGCATGTGAAGGGAGAAAGCTCTTAGGGAGACTTTCATCCCATCCGTCTGAGGAATTAACGTAAGATCAGGATGGCAATTAATTTGGGGGCTATCGTCTTTCTAACTGGAAAATCATAAGTGCCTTGTATGTTTTGGTATGAAAGGATTCAGTGCCTTCACAGCTTGGTGGAGGGGAGAAAAGTAACACAGATCATGATACCAAGAAGTAGCTGGAATAGAGCCCAGCGCCAAGAGACACTAGCCCATGGGGGACTCTTGGATCCCAGGATCTCAGATGGTTCCCGGAAAAGTGAGCAGCTGGCTTGGGTCTGGCAGATGGGGATTGTGTCAGGAATAAAACAGGGTGACATGGGACAGCCCAAGCAGGGGTGAGAGCACATAGTGGCGCTGGGTTGCAGAGCCCAGTTTCTCAGCCCTGGAGGAGCTCAGGGCTGAGGAACAGGTGAGGGGGCATCATGTGCCCTGGCATTGACTTCCATGCCAAGCAGTCAGATCCTCATGTGGTGGGTGACCAGCAACCACGAGGGCTTTCAGTCAGCAGAGTGAGATCTGGGGCTGGGCAGGTGTCCATGCACACGGACTGACCCTCTGTGATTTCTGCATGGAAATGCTGTGTGGAGCCAGGGCTGAGTCCCATGAGGTCCCCACCACACAGGGGCTCTTGGTCACCAAGAGGCCTTGGAAACAGCTATCTTCCCATGTGGTGAGGTCTGTGACTCTGCATTCTAGAGGAAAGGCCCTGGGAAGTCAAGCTGGGCATTACTGTCCCCAGGAGAGATGCTCTGGAATGCAGTCCAGGGCTGCAGAGCTGGACAACATGCTGTAGGGAGGAGCCAGACTGAGATGATCAGAGCCTGTGCTTGGCCTCCTGGAGTGGCAGAGGGAAGGAGCAGATAGCTCAGGCCTAGTGCTCTCCACACAGGGCAGCCCCCAACTCTCCCACCCCCAAGGCCTTTTAAAGTTGACAACCTCTTCTTAAGGAAACTTGTTAAAGAACCTCCTGCTCTACCCCAGGCCAAATGAATTAGAATCTACATTTTAATGGACCCCCACTAATTCATAAGCACATTAAAATTAGAACATTCTAAAACAGAGGGAGAAATGGATGCTGTTACTCAAACCAGTTGCCTCTGGCTGAGCTCTGTGCCCCCTGGCTGCCCCAAGCAAGTTCTAAGCCATCCAAGCTGAGTTGCCCTTCAGAATTAGCACACTAAATAGGAGGAGAGCTTATAGCATATAGGTGCTCTGTGACAGCACACAGCAGGTACTCAATGTGCACCAATTACATCCGTTGGTTTGTTATTGAAAAGTAAATGGAATGTGGCCTGGGGCCCTCTTGTGTAGCACTGTGCCTCCTTGAGTTTGATGTTAGCTCCTCCAGAGCAGGGTCTTGAGAAACTGAGTATCGTTGACCTCCTGGAGGATACTTCCAGGCTTAAATGAAACAAGTTATTTCAAAGCCCTCTGGCAGGTGGACTAGTCAAAACAAAGAAGCACACAAAATAAATAACAACAAAAAAACATGCCAAGGGGCTGCCCCAAGCAGCCACCAACTGCTCACAGTTGCCAGCTGAGCTTCTTTCCCAGGTCCCACTAGGAGGTGCAGCTCTGGGAAAGACTATTAGACACCTCAGCATCTCCTGTAAGTTCTGGGGGTCAAGAAGGGAACCATCTTTTGTATTCAGAAAATCCTGTTGCTGTGTTAAAGAACAACCAAACAAACAAAAAGTGTCACTTCTTAGTAGCTCCCCGGCAAGTTTCTGAATGTTTGCTGTCCAAAGCACACGGCTGAGTGTGGACAGAGCCATCCCTCTGCAGACAGCACATCTCCTTCCTGACCAGCGCTCAGCAAGGACCGTCACGGCCTGCTCCAGCCCATCTTTCCAGCTCGGCTCTACAGCAGGGCTTCAGGAACACAGCGCTACAGCCAAGCTGGCCCCTCTCCCATGGTGCTCCAGTCCTGGTGCCCTGGGCCTCAGGGGCTGTTCCTCTGCTGGAATGCCCCTCCCTCTCTGATGCACTCCCTCCTCCTCCCTGGCAACAGCCCCTATGGAGCATCCCCACCTCCCCAGAGAGAACCAGGCCCTCCCCTCCTCCTGGCCCACCACCCTGCCTCACACTCTGTGGTTCTAGTGTGGCCGCCTCAGGAGATTCTGCTGTCTGTGGAAACAGATCTATTTTTCAGTAGGCTGCAATTCCCAATGGCCTCTTCTACTTATTCCTAGAAGATATCCAAGTGGCTGGTACACAGCAGATGCTTAGTAAAACTTCATGATTTGCTGAAGCACAGAGGCACCCACACTCCACTGCTGCAGAGACCTAGCTTTCTAATTCTCTGGAGTTCCCGGAAGCCTCCAACCTCTCCATCGGTGGCAGGCCATCCAGATGGAAGCCTTCACTGCTGTTTGTCATGGGCCACAAGGTGGCGATGTTCTGTCTCTAAAGAGCTCTGCAGACTGTGAGCTTAATATGGGGGGCTTCTGGGGAAGTGGGGTGCTGCTTCTATTCCAACCACAGGCCAGCCCTTCAGCAAACCAAGGAGCAGACTGATGGCCAGCACATCACCCTTTCCACCTTTGTCACCAAGCCACTCCCTACAGCAGTTGCATAATAAAATTTTCAACAAAATTTGGTTATAAAATAAAGTTGTGGCAACAGGGACCATAGGAACCCAAGAGGCAGCATCCCTGCAGTCTGGGATACTGCAGAAAGGAGGAGGCAGCAGTCGGCCTTTTGTGAAATACGTTGATAAATGAACCAGAGCAGGCAGCAGATGAGGAACTTCAGCAGAAGGCGGGGCTGGGCTCAGACCCTAGGCGGCTCACCCCTCTGACTCACACACCTTAAGGAAGACCTGCTCCTCTGTGTCCATTCAGCATGAAATAAACGTGGACCTGTGAGCACTCCCCCCAGAGCCCAGGGCTGCTGCGGGCACAGTGCGCAGAGACCCGTGGGCAGAGAGCCAGCCTCCCTCTGGGCCGGGCCTTTGCTATTCCTTTGTTTTAACTTCACCACCCCAATACCCTCTCCTGCCCCAGCTGCTCTCTGTTTGTGATTCTGTGAGATGCAGCTAAGTCTCCTTCCTGGCACCCAGTTTCTAAAGCCCTCGGAATTCCCAGCGCTTAGATGCATCTTTTCTTAGTCTACGTCCCCTTCCCCCAGATTGAGTCTGTGCTGATGTGGAGACCCTCGACAGACCCCTAGACAGCCTCAGGGAGAGGCTGGCTGTCTGAAAGACCAAGGAGGTCAGGAGGTTGGGACTTTCTCTCCAGGCCTCTGGGGACGGGAGAGGAGCTGGGGATCTTGTGGAGGGCCAGTGGTCACCTTGGCCGTGGGGCCATGCACTGGAGCGCCGTAGAAACCTTAAATGATGGGGCCTGACAGCTTCTAGGTTGGTGAGTATTCCCAACTGAAGTGCCACCCTTGGGACGCCCTTGCAGGTCTTGCCCTGTGTCCACGTATTCACCTGGCAGTTTGTCTGCATCCTTTCTGACATGCTTTATAACAAAGTGGACAGCCCACATCTGGCTAGGGTCAGAGAAAGGACAGTGAGTGAGGTGCCACCTGATGGCAAAGTGTTTTGTGCTGGAGACAACTCTCAAGTGTCCCTTTGCCCACATATCCCCCTAAGGACGCGAATCCTCCTTCCTGGCTCCCTGTGACCTAGAGATTGGTCCAGGCACCCTGGTGCAGGGGGCACCCAGGCCTCTTGGTCACTTGCCTGGGCTCCCTCTCCAAAGCCTCAGTCATGGCACGTGGCCCGTTCCCAGGCCCTTCTGACTGTTCTAGCAGCATAGCCTTGCTCCAGGCCCTCCTACCTCTGGGGTCCATGTGCTGCACTGCTGCAAAACCACAAGGTTCAAAGCCAGGATCCAAAACAGCTTCCTCTCTGGGGTCTACTAGGGCCTACCTCCTCCTGAGGAAACTTAGTGACACCATCCACCTGAGGTCCTACAACCAGGTAGAGTACCTGTGTCCTCATCTCTTTCCAGGCTCATGGCATAGTAGGCAAGATGACAAGTACAGAAGTAATGGCTTTGGGCAGTGCTGAATGCCAGGCACTGTCCTCCACAATGCAGCCAGGTGACCTCATTTAATCCCCATAGAACAAGTGCATCGCACACAGGGAAACAGCCATCAAGAGGGGAAAAGACCTGCCCAATGTTTGTCCAGAGGTGGAGGACCACACCCTGTTATTAGGGCAGAGGGCCTCTGCCCTTTACTCACATGAGGTACATGACCCAGGACAGATGGGTCTGCAGATTGATAGGCAAAGGTGCCAAGTCCTGGCTCCTTTTGCAGAGGAGCCAAGGGTCCCAGGAAGCTGCATTAACCACTCTAGGATCAGTCTCTTCCTCACCTTTAAAAGCCTGACCAGCCCTCAGTGCCTTTGTTTACCAGCTCACTCCAGCATTTATTAGGAGCTTACCAGGTGCCAGGAGTCCTCCGAGCAGTGAACAATGGTGGCCCAAGAGTACACAAGCCACTTTCCTAAGCTGTGTGCTCCAGGAGGGAACGGGTTGCCACTGAGAACCCATCCACTGAATATAACAGGATTGCTTATTTTATAGAACTGTTCAGTTGAATAAATGAACAAATGCACACAAGGCACATAAAATACAGACTTGGTAACTTGCGAATGTGCACTACACTAATTGGCTAAGACAAAAAGATGTCATCAGTAAAATCCTGATGGGAAAACCAAGCACCACGAAAGTCCTGGTTGGCCTTCCCCTCTCCCTGACTCCTGGGCTTCCTTCCAGCCTCAACCTGGGACCTCACTTAGGGGGCCATGCAATGCCCCAGGAGGTGGAAGTGTCCCAGAGACTGTACCACACAGTCGTGTGCATCGCCAGGTTTGTTAAAGACATGCTCTTAATGCACACAGCCTCACAAAACCGCAACAGAGTCCCCAGGACAAAGTTCATATCCATTTTTTGTTTCCTCTTGTAAGGAATGTGAGTCATTCTCTTTCCCTGAAGTTTAAAAGCCAGAGGGAGAACACCTTCTTTAGACAGGGGCGGGAAGCCTGCGGTGGCCTGCTAGGCGCACTGCCTTCCAGCTCCTTGCTTCGGAAGTCGCCTAGCTGAGCAGGGAAGGAGTGGACTGGCTGACTGCCCACAGCTCCCAGCCCGAGCAGGGATGCCCGGAGGGGATCTTTCAGGAATTTGGAGTAACCTCATCTAGCTCAAATGGGCTGAAGTAGCTGACCCCTTCACTGGGCCTGCACAAGTGTCCCATGGGCGTCCTTTTGATGGCAGGGGTCCCAATTCCACCTACACATCATGCAGAGGCTGCTGGTTTCTGGACATGCTTCCTGTGAAGACAATGACCACCTGCTACTTCACTTTTGCTGACCTCCAATCACCTTTCCCACACCTCAGACCACCCTGCTTCTTTGCCCCATAAAGATCCCTGAACCCCATTCTTAGGGAGGCAGATTTGAGGCTCCTCCTCCATCTCCATGGCATTGGCACCTGTGAGCTAACTTTCTCTTTTGTAAACCTGGTAGCTTCCATGACAGGCTTAAAGCCCTGTGGGCAGAGCAGGCCTGATCCGGTAACGTGACCACTTCTTTCCATCAGACCCACAGGGTCAGCCCTCTAGTTACCTGGAGCTCTGAGCATAGCTGGGCGAGCGTTTCTTCAACAGCAAGGGCCTCTAGGAAGAAAGAAGCAAATGTCATACAGTTAAACGAACATGCACGGAAATGAAGATGCTGCCAATTAAAAGAAGAACAAGTTTCAAGTTCTCATTAAAGTCACAGGAACAAACACAATTGATGAAGGCTCCCCTCCATGCATTCCTAAACAGCTGGAGGCACCGTGCTTACAGACAGAATAAACCTGACTTGGAACCAAGGGCTAAGCCCTAGGTAAAGACCAAAGTCCTCTCATCAATGCATTTATATAAAAGTAGATCCTCCTAAACGGTATAGAGCTTTTTTGGGTCAAAGTGATTTTTTTTTCTTTAGGTACTGGGGATTGAACCCAGGGGCACTTAACCACTGAGCCACAAACCCAGCCCTTTTTTGTATTTTATTAGAGTCAGAGGGTTGCCAAGTTGCTTAGGGACTCACTAAGTCCCTGAGGCTAACATGGAACTCAAGATGCTCCTGCCTCAGCCTCCAGAGCTGCTGGGATTGCTGGCATGTGCCAGCAATCTGCACCCAGAGTGATTCCATTTTCATTTCCACTTTTTGAGGCACATGGATTCATGCAACACAGATATATCTTTCTAAGACATAAAGAGCATGGATTTGTATCTCCATCTCAACCCATGAAAGATCAGAAGCCTAGAGAAGTGGGGTGGCAGATCTGAGTCCTCTGCAGGCTCCAGGGACTAGGACACTAATGAACACCTAACTTTCCATGCCAACATGGTCCCTGCAATGCCACTGTGGCAGCATGGACCAGTGGTGCAGCTCTCGGGGATACAATGTTCATGGTTGTTACTTTTTGGAGTTATTCCCTAGTTTCACGGTGCCATCTGCAGGTGGCTGTGGTAGATGCACTGTTTCCCAGGTGAGTGTGAGCAATCCCTTAGCACCTTGGGCTCCTTCCTGCGACACAAGTAGCACAAACCTCTCCACCTGACTGCTGACCTCGGGTCTACAAGGTCCCCAACCCAAGGCAAAACAGAGCTTTGTCATTGCTGAGAGCCATAGCCAAGAAGGAATGACGCATGGCATTTTGGTTTGAAAGGTGACCCTGCTCAGGGATTAGGGCGACTCCAGGTTTAGGGTGGATCCTGCTGGGAATAGGGCGGCTCCAGGATTAGGGCATATCCTGCTGCCTCAGGAGCCCCCTCCTTTAGAGTTCCCGTGGAGTTCTCGTGGGGTTCTGAGAGAATTGGTATGCAGAGCTCGGTGGAGGGAGTGTATTTTCTCAGAACGTGCATGTAGAGTGCCGGTGAGAGTTCGGGAATAAAGAGTTGCTGTTGGAATCTACAAGGCTTTTGTGGTGGCTCGGTGATTTTGTGCCCAGACAGACTGCGGCATGTCATATTGGTTTTGTCTGCATCCCCAATGCCTAGCACAACTCCCGCACACAGTAGGTGCCATGTGTCAATACAAATATGATGAGTTGGTATAAAGAAACTTGGTTCCTTTGGATTAAAAAAAAATGCTACATCAGAAAGCCAAATGCAGCTGAATAATATCCATTTTCTCTCTGAGTGATGTGAATTGCACCGATTCTCTGCATGTCTTTATAGCATGCATAAGACTGTCACCTGAAAAACATTTTGAAGATTGCCTGATTCAAAGAGTAGTGCTTGAGCACAGGATTTGACTGGGGTGTCAGAGCTGATAGTGATGGATGGCAAGAGGCTTCGGCATTCAATCCTAATTCCACAACTCCATACGTTCTCCTTCAGGCCCAGTGTCGGGGGGAGTGGATAAGGGATCTGAGGAGAGACTGCTCTCAAAGATCTCAAGACTGCTAGGGAATGGAAACATGCAAATACATCATTACACCATGTGTTCATTGCCATGATGGACACTGGGTAAGACGTGGACACCACCTCTGCCGTGGTTTTTGTAGCAGTTGATTTCCAGGGGTGTAGATGGGGAAGTTAAGGTCTCTGACACTAGAACAGGTGTTAACCCTGAATTTCAAGTTAAGGACTCAGACGCTGCTCTAGAGACCTATGAACAGAACTGCAATACAAGCCCTACTGTAACTGAGGATGACATAGGACCTCCCAGAGGTCAGTACAGGGACTCCGAGCCTTGCCATGGTTCTGTCACACATAGGGCTGTGCCACCCTGCCCCTTCTACCACTCTGTGCCATCATCTGTCAATCAAGAGGGATTTAGGCTTAATAATCTCTATGATGTCTAACCTTCAGAAAATCCATGTGCAAGAATCTATTTGTTTCAAGACAGCTAAATCTGATAGACACTAGTAGGTTTCTGTAATCATCCAGATTAATTATAAGTATTTAATATTTATGTATACAAACATGAATGGGTGTTGCGGCTGTGCATATCATTCTTTACTATGGACATGTAGCTCTTTATTAGGATTGTTTTCCACTCTGAAGCTGCAATTCTGTAATGACTGCATAGTTAAGGAAAGACTCTAAACCCACATTCTCCCCTAGAAGGCAGCATAACATAATGTACCAGGCAGGTATGACTACATGTTCTGTGTTTGGTGGATAAGTGAATGAGTGGATGAGCATACTCTTAGCACTAACATCTAGACTTACACATTGCCCTTTGAATTCTGCCTCCTAGAATGAGGTGGGGGTACACTAACCCTCCCTGAACAACAGATGTCACCATGACACTTAGCAAAGCATGACACCCTATCTCCAGCCCAGTGACCAAGGGGCAACATTAGCTTCTGGGCTTTTTCCTTACCCAGCTCCATGTGCGGCAGCTCTGGGATGTCCCTCATGATGAGTAGGAAGTAGAGGCGGAGGCCCCGGTAGGCTTGTAGGAGCAGGAGACACAGGTCACGGTGCCACTTGTGGGCATGCTGCATGCAGTTCTCTGAGGGGACATAGAAGCTTCCCTGTGGGTGGAACAGAAACAAAGCTAGGAATGTCATGCCTGGGCTAGTAGCACAGGGCTCCTCCCCTCCACCTGCTGTGTCAACCATCAAGGACTGTGTGGAAGAGAGAGACCTGAGTTCCCATGTCTTCTTTGTCCCTCCATATGGGAAAAATAATGAAATCCAAAATACTCTTGTTTTGCCATGTTCAAATTAAAATGATAATAATAATAATAATAATGATAATGATGATGATGATTGTGGTGGTGGTGGTGATGATGGTGATAATGGTGGTCGTGATGGTGATATGGTGTTGATGATGATGGTGGTGATAATAATGGTGATGGTAATAATGGTGTTGATGGTGATGATGGTGGTGGTATTGATGATTATATAGTGGTGATTGTTGAAGATGGTGATGATAATGTGATGGTGATGATGGTGGAGGCATTGATGGTGATATGGTGTTGATGATGGTGGTGATTTCTGAAGATGATGATGGTGATGATCATGTGATGGTGATGATGGTGGAGGTGTTGATGGTGACATGGTGTTGACGATGATGGTGTTGAATGATGAAGATGGTAATGATGGTGATGCTAATGGTGATGGTGATAATGATGTTGATGGCGTTGATGGTGATGAGGGTGGAGGTGTTGATGGTGATATGTGTTGATGATGATGGTGGTGATTGCTGAAGGTGGTGATGATAATTTTGAAGGAGATGATGGTGGTGGTGTTGATGATTGTGATGATGGTGAATGATGCTGGCAATGGTGGTGGTAATGGTGACATTGTGTTGATGATGGTGATGATTAATGAAAAAGGTGACTGGTGACAATGTTGATGATGATGGTGATGGCAAAGATGCCATGACATGGCAGGCTTGTAAAACTGAGTGGGGCCCACTTAAGGTCCCCTTCCACTGACTGTGCCAGGGTCCACACTAAGAAGAGGCAGGGACAAAGGTAGGCAGGCCTATTGGCACAGAGTGATAAAAAGAATTTGAACAACCCTTGTGGCAGTCGGAGGAGTAGCAGCTAGTGCTTAAAAGGAGGGAAACTGTCTTGTAAGAAGAGTGAGGTGCTGAGGAGTTGCCTAACCTGTGTGGAACACGCCCCTTGGAGAGCTCTGGATGTGGGCATGCGTGTCAGGTGTTCTGTGTTACATATTTAGTTGGTGGACATGGAACAGATTATACTGATAGAATTACAAAGTGTTTTGTCAAATGAGAAAATGATGCTTACATCCACAAAGAACTTGGAGACCTAGACGTGACAAAAAGGAAGAAATGGGACAATTTTGACTCTTTTTTTTTTCCTTTGATACCAGGGATTGAACTCAGGGGCACTTGACCACTGACCTCATCCCCAGCACCCTCCTTTTTAAAAAATTTATTTAGAGACAGGGTCTCACTGAGTTGCTTAGCATCTTGCTTTTGCTGAGGCTAGCTTTGAACTTGTGATCTTCCTGCCTCAGCCTCCTGAGCCTCTGGGACAACTTTGACTTTCTTGTCAACCCAAGAGACAAGGACATCCTGAGGTCAATGTTGGAGAGATGTGTTCTGAGAGCAGAGAAAGGAGTTCCACGGGGAAGTGCTCAGATGGGGAGAAGGGAAGCTACTGGACAGAGGGCTGGAAGATGGTGGAGTAGGGACCTGCTGTCCCTCTATTGCCCACATGGCCAGGGTGGGGGGAGTCAATGTCTCTGTGTCCTGTTGAACAGCTGGGCAATTGGTGGGTCTACTCTCCTGGCTCTGAGCCTTGGTCTACATGGTGGGTGACTCTGGCAGCCTCGTGCCCCAGTTTTTCTCCTTTTCCCTTGCTGCCACCTGAGAGGGCATAACTGGCCCAGTGGGGACAGAACAGGTCTGAGGAGGCCAACGGCCATCCGCACTTCATCTGAGCTCCCAGTGGTGAGCAGGCAATGATGGGACGAATGACACACTTGGTCCCCACTGTCTTGATGACTGGGTAACATGGGCTGCCAGGCAATAGGCATCAGACCAGATAAAAATCTCAGGAATGTCATCACCTGGTTCTAAGACAGAGAGGTCACTGGGTGTGCTTTCAGGGGCACTAAATGTGAGGGAGGGAAGTGCACAGGTGGAGCATGGCACCGCACTCTCTTGGAGGCCTCACAGAGGCCTCACTGATCGCTCGGGCTCTGGACTTGCAGAGAGACCTGGCCTCACAGCACGGACCATGTCTTTGGACCCAGCCATTGACCAGCACTGGGTGAGGGCGACCCAGGGCGGATGTGAGCAGCTGTCTCTAGACAGGCACTCCACACCCTCAGCTGATTGCTCTTGGCCCCCAGCTTCCTGGCAGTGTGAGGAGGGGTGCCTGCAGCCCAGGGAAGGTTCTGGGTGGCACACCCACCCATGTCTGCTGGAGACACCCTCGGTGCCACCTCTTCTCCTCAGGGCCTCACTGTCCTCAGTTCTGAGTCCTAGCTCTGGATTATAAAGATTCCAGGTCCCTTTTGATTTGAATTTAAGAGAGACATTCAACAAGGCTTGCAGTCAAAGGACGTGCTCATTTCACAACCAGAAAATTCAGCCCCTGGAATGTCTGAGTCCCCCAGAACTCAGGCTGATGCACACACTGCCATTTCCCTTCTTTCCTATTGTGCTAAGATCAAAATACAGAGAAGCCAGTGCAGCTGTGGAAAGTCCAGCAGAGCTTGCACAGAAGAGGGAGCTCATGAGAGTCCCCAGGCCTGCAGAGCAGAAAGGAAACCACTGTTCATAGACCATATGGACAGTTCCATCACCAACCTGCAACGAGCACTGTCAGTGCTTCCACCAGCACTAATGTTGCTTTTCAAAATAGAACGTAGCTGTTTAAAGAGAAAAACTCAGCGTCACCAAAGAAAACACAACACAAAGTAAAGTGCCCCATTCTCAAGTGCAATGATTTCTTGTGGATCTTCCAGAACTCTTCCATACCCATGTGTACCTCTGTTTTTGCGTGCGTGTTCTCACAATGTGTACGCATATTCCACATTCACGCACAGATATACGCACGAGTTAGGAAATGCTCCTTCATTTCTCAGTCCTTTTGTTTTTTTTAATCTCTTAACAGGTCTCAGGTTCCCTCTGATCCTATGGAACAGTAAAGCACTTGGAACACCTGTTTCCACTTCCTGGATGGAAAGACTGGCTCAGAGAGCTGAAAGGTTAGCGCTGGTTCCTCTTCTTGGCAGCTGCAGAAATGATCCTGGAAGCTCAGGTGCCAAAGCCGGGCAGTCCTCCCTCAGCATGCAGCACACGCCTCTGAAAACCGCGCCTGGCAGAGAACAGATGCTCCACAAAGGTCTGCTTGCTTTGACAGAGGCATTAATTTAAGTCCTGCCGTGTCTCCATTAGCTGTGACTAAGCAGACGGGACTGCAGAAAGGGCCTTATGAAGGCACCACACCCGCGGTCACGCGTCCCCAGTTAGTCGGCTTCAGGCAGCCCTGGGAATCCTGTTTTCTGTCCTGCCTTCTACTCATAACTCCATTTTCTTATCACCATGACCTTGTTTTTAAAGTGCTTCAGACCCCAGTGAAGAAGGCAAGGAAGCTAGGAAGCCTGTTATTAAATTTCACATTTAAAGCTAGACCCTGTGGCTATAATCCCAGCTACTCAGGAGGCTGAAGCAGAAGGACTGCAAGTTTGAAACCAGCTGCAGCAACTTAGCAAAAATAAAAGGACTCCAAATGAAATGAAAAGGACTAAGGGTGCAGCTCAGTGGTAAAGCACTTGCCTAGATGTAGAGTGTAGGAGACCATAAATTGAATCCCTGATACCAAAAAAGGAAAGGAGAGGAGGGGGGATCTCAATGAATGTTTCCAGAAAGATACAAAGAGTACTTTAGGGAATCTTCATAAAGCTGATTTCGTATGATTATTGAAGTAATAAATGTCAAAATGATAATCCAAAGAGAGAACCTGAAAAATATATGGGTAAAGATTGTTATATCAGACAAAAAAGAAAAAGGAGAAAGAAAGAAAAGAGAGACCTCCATTTTCCATAAACTGCTCACCAGCATGACTTTTGGAAAGTGAGTAATATATCACAGAAAATCCCATTAGCCAGCCCTCCAGGCCTGCAGAGCCCGTGTCAGTGTGGAAAAGCCAATGAGCGCCTGTTAGAATCGGATTGAAAATCCTTGCACAATCTCCCTGGCACAGAGAAAGAACTCTAGCAACCTACTTTTCAGAGTCTGGGATAAAAACCCTAAATAATGAAACAGGACTCCAGCAGGCCACACATACCATGAGGCTGCACATGAACTCACAGGAGAGGGCTCTTGTCGGATCCCAGCCCACACTGGGGCACACCAAGGGAGTGTCTCTCCCTTCCTGAGGGTGAACTAAGACAAGGGTAAGTGGGAAAAGACTTGTCTGATTGGAGTAAAGCATCGAGTCTGCAGCACCGGCTCCAGCCAACATTGTTTTAGTTTGGGGACTAAAACTCATGTTTGAGTTCTTGCTTTGCTTCTTCCTACCAACGTGGCTTTGGGCAGTTCATCCTATCCCTGCCCTGCAGATACACCATCTGTAAAGAGGGGACCATCATAGCTGCTGTTAAAGAATAAATGAAACCATTCTGGAAAAATGCTGACTGATGCAATGTTCTAATGGAGAGTGGGAACAAATGGAAAGGCATGTTTGGGCGTCAAGGATATGCACATTGATGGCCTCTCTCAACATGTCTTTGGGTGGTGCAGCATAAGAATCAACAGTGACCCACCAAAAACCTTGTAGCTGCATCTTAACTCAACAGATGTCCAGTAGGAGCTCTGCAGGGGTGTGGTTCCATTTGAATACAGAACCTGGAGTGCAATAGGTGAGTACCCTGCTGACGGATCTGCCCTTCAACCACCCTGTGACTGAGCCAACCCCTTACAGCACCAGTTTCAACATGGAAAGTTAGGATAACAACGGAGTTAAGTGCTTAGGATAGTGTTTGATATATACTTAAGTATGTACTAAGTGCTAATTAAGAACCTTTAGTTTTTATTTCTTTTTCTT